CCGGGTATATTCTTTTTGGTTGGCCGACCTCGGCGACCGCTGCTGACTCAAGCGGTCCTAGTCCGAAAGAGGTGTAGTGTTATGCAGATCAAACTCACGTGATATATAAACACGTGACCTTAATATTCAATACGATCAAAGCAGTGAAAACGAGATAGTAGCTTTGAAGAGAGGAACATTTAGTATCAGTTGTTTGTCGCGCTGACCCCACGAATCCATCCCACTTAAAACTAAGCTTAGTCGGCAAATTTGTGTTGATTGTCTCGCCTTTCCACCCCGGCGTGTCTCCGCTCCTAAAACTCCTTCCCGCAATTGTTCTGGGCCTTCCGAAGGTTCCTCTGATCAACTTTCCTGTTCTCCTCACCTCACGTACTTCTCAAGATGGCAGAAGAAGAACCTCGAGCCAAGCGCTCGCGCTTCGACCAGACTGAGCCTGAGCCCCGACGCTCCCGATTCGATCGTCGCTCGCGATCTCCTTCGAACCGACAGTCGGAATCAATTAGAACCCGCAGCCCACTGAGTCGCCCACTGAGTGGTGAGCCTCGCAGCCCTGGCGCAAGTGCAGCGCAATCATCCACATCTGATCCGGCCGCTGCTGCAGGTATGTGCCACTTGCTCCGCTGTCATAACCAGACTACACGGCTAACCATTCGGTCTTTATAGCGGCTGCGGCAGCCAAGATTAATGCGCAGCTGCAGGCTAAGAAAGGAATTCAGCATGTCGATGTCCCTCCTATCCGCTCGGTGAATACGTTTCCGCTCTTATAGGATTCAAGTCACTGCTAACACCTAGTTATAGACCGAAGGCCCGGCTGCTGAATCTGGATCGCCCAATGCAGAAGGTGCAGCAAAGTTGAACGCTGAGATCTACGTCGCAGATGGCGATTACATCAAGGACATCGAGATCAATGATCTGCGGAATCGTTACACCCTGACCAAGGGATCCACTCAGAAGATGGTAAATACACCCGTTGTCACTTGCTGATATTCCAGCCATACCTCCCAAAGGAGATGGATACCATGAGTCTCTCATGATTGAACTTCTGTTCCCCTCCTTGTGTGATTGGATGAAGCTTACCCTTCACTTAAAACATAGCATCCCATCCACCCTCTGTTGCATCTGCTGACCTCCGCCGCGTGATTTATAGATTAAAGATGAAACCGGCGCTGGTACGCCTTCCTATGATGTTGCATACTATACGAAAGAAGTTCTCGCTCACCATTTTTCAAGATGTTACCACGCGCGGCAATTACTACCCGGACAAGAACATGGCCACGGCCGCGGTGAGTGATGCTGTCAATTGTGGGCCAACAGCCGCTAATTCCTGTGACATAGAACCCCCCGCTTTATCTCCATGTCACCAGCACCAACAAGGATGGACTTGAGAAGGCAGTTGCTATTATTGACGACCTCATGCAGAAGGAACTGCCAAACCTAGTCGACGAACGCCGATTCCGTCGCCGGGAGCCCGAACAGGTTGAACGGGATGAGTATGGCCGTGTATGGGACTGTCACCTCATGATATATCCAGAGAAGACCTGCTAATTATGTACAGCGCAAATGGCCCGATGAGCGCATTCCAATCGACCTTGAGCCAGTGCCCGGCTTCAACCTGCGTGCCCAGGTCGTTGGTCAGGGCGGTGCCTACGTGAAGCACATTCAGCAACAGACCCGATGCCGAGTTCAGATCAAGGGCCGTGGCTCCGGGTTCATTGAGTCGAGCACTGGCCGTGAGAGTGACGAGGCCATGTTCTTACATGTGGCGTGGGTTTAACTTGGGTTTTTCCTTACTTGTGGGCATTAACTGACGGTTTATATAACAGTGGCCCTGATGCCAACGATGTGCAACAGGCGAAGGAGCTTTGCGAAGACCTCCTGGCCAATGTCAAGGAGCAGTACCAGCGCTTCAAGGATAACCCACCCCAGCACAACTACGGCGGATACGGCAATCGCGGCGGAGACCGGGGTGATCGCTACCACGGTGGTGGAAGTGGATATGGCGGTGGTTACAACAGTCGTCAGTCCCAGCAGAACAGCTCTTCTGCCAGCCCGTCAGGTCAAGCAACCCCTGCCTCCACCGGTGCTGCTGGAACACCTGGCGCCGACTACAGTGCCCAGTATGCCCAGTACTACGGCGCCGACCCTTACGCAGCCTACGGTGGATACCAGAATTACGTGGCGTACTACCAGTACTACATGGCCGCTCAACAGCAGCAGCAGGCGCAGGAGGGTGCCGCTCCGCCTCCTCCCCCTGCTGGCGAAGCTCCACCACCACCTCCTGGATCGGGATCTCCCCCTCCCCCACCTCCTGGTGGTCCTCCTGGGGGCAATGGCTACAGCGCGGTATGTTCCCCAAAGAATGACTATCCTAGCTCTCCTTACTGACATATGAGACAGGTCCCCCCCTCCTGGACTGTAGGCCAGAAACTGAGGTAGCCCACGCTACTCTTCTGCGGAATAGTTGCAGTTAAGTTCATTTGATGTTAATTGGCGAATAAAAAGCAATTTCTTGTCGTTCTAATGGGAGGAAGATACGAGCGATCTGATTTATGGAATTTCAACCTTGCATTTTTTGCTGAAAGAAGCCCTTCTAGCCTTTTGGTGCTCTCTAACACTGTTGTAATTTTTGATTGTTTAATGCTGGGTAGATCTGAACATTATATTAACAGGAGCAGACTCGCCAGTTGCTGTTGGACTCTCATTTGCTCTGGTTACCTTCACCTGGTTGCTGATCGTTCAACAAGGCTGGGATAAAAGATTGTTTCTTCGTTGAACCGGATGCCTTAGATGAGTGTGCCTAGCAGTCTTTATGCGTCCTTCTGAAGCCCATAGAAACATGTCCACCGGCGGCCCGAGAAATGCAGTGACAATAAGACCGATGAAAGGTATAATATGGGAGAACGGATGGGGAAATTGAAATAATACCGGACAAAAGACCATCCTAGCCAATCTGATCATCCGAAATCGGCGTATAGGAGAGACATTTCCGTCTCAGATGCCATCTTTGACCGTCGTTTGGACAATCCGCCCCGACCTTCCTTACAGAAATCACAAGCAAAATCACAAGGCGAAGTCAAGCCAGCAGGCGCAGGCGTGGAAGGCGGCAACTGCGAGCCCAGTTCTTCCAGCTCGAAATCACCAAAGAACTCTTTAATAAGCTCATGTCGACACCGAGTGATACTCTCACAGTATCGAATCACCTTCCCAAAGCTTTCAAGCTTCGCCTCTCGGTTTTCAAGGCCATTTCTACGGCGATTCTCGGTGTCACGGTATATGAATTTCTGCACACGGTCCCGCTCAGGGAGACCGTAGTAAACAATAGACGCAGCGGCACAGCCGTCCCGACCTGCACGGCCTGATTCCTGGACAAAACTCTCGAAACTTGACGGTGGTGTCCAGTGGACGACGAAGCGGACGTTCGGGTTGTCGATTCCCATACCGAAGGCATTTGTTGCCACGATGATAGAGAAGGTAGGTGGCTTTTTACCCTCTGCCGATGGCTGGACAGGATGTGGCGCTTTCCACCTTTCTTGTATCCGGGACCGGTTCTCTGCTTCGAGACCGGCGTGGTATGGAACTGCGGAGATCGTCTCATCCGAGGATAGTCGACCTGCCAGATGTTCGGCCAAGGCGCGCGTTCCTACGTACACAATGCCTGAAAGTGGTGGGAGCTGTGCTACTTCCCTGGCACCAAGCCGGGCTTCTCGTCGCGTGCGGATGGCTCTGAGCCATTTTAAGATGTTTGAAAGCTGGCTGTCTTCGGCGCCACTGTAGTCATCGGCGAAGTCTTCGAGGTACCGGACCTCATAATGGATATTTGGTCGAGCCGATGGCGTATTGAAGAGTTTGAGGCGGGTTACGTCTAGTCCTAGGATTTCGATGATATCCGAGCGAACTCGGGGTGTGGCGGTTGCAGTCACGGCGGTTATAGGTACGGGTGGGTTGATGAGGTTCTTTCTGAGCCAGCTCAGCTCTTTGTATGCAGGGCGGAAGTCGTGTCCCCATTGACTGATGCAATGTGCCTCGTCGATTGCAATTCGGATGAGCTGTCCTTGTTTGTGGACGACTAGTAGTTGGCGGCGGAAATGCTCTGTTGCGCACAATTCTGGCGTGACGTATAGAAGCCGTGTCCCGGGGTGGCCGCAGAGCATGTCTTGTAGTACTCGTTTTTTCTCTGGCTGTGGGGTGTTTGAGTTTATTGTTTCCACAGATATGCCGAGAGCTTTCAAGGCGTTGACTTGATCAACCTGTCAAGAATTAGTTGATTGAAAACAACCTTGGTACAGTTTAAACAGTTATTCACCATCAATGCCAGAAGCGGGCTCACAACAATTGTTACTGTAGTCGAAGTCAGTTCACCGTCTCATGTCTTTGATGCGCCGAATGATATAAAATGCAATACTCACAGCCCCAATCTTTTAACACTGCGGGAAGCTGGTAGCATAAACTTTTCCCGAAGGAAGTCGATGCTTGCAGAAAGACATCGTGGCCTTCAATAACGGCCACAATCACATCTCGTTGTAAAGGACTATAAGTAGTGAGGTCAGATGTGCCCTCTTGTATGACTCGGTACATTGTCAACCAACCGGAAATCATTCTTGCGAAAAGTGTTTTGAAGGCACCAGCGCATGTTTGCCGTTTGGCGGGTGAGCGCTGGATTGTGCCCCATTGCTCATCATAGCAAAGATACAAGTGTGGAAGGGTAAATTGGCAGCATCAGTGCTTGACGGTCGAGTCTTCAAACGCGTGCCAGACAGACGCGGTGTCACGTGCCGCCGTCTAACTTCCTGTTTGGGATTGATTGGATGGACTCCTCGCTTTGACCGTGCAGCGTCTAACACTCTTCTCAGCTAAGTGTAGTATAATCGATTATATATATCCATGTCCGGAGATTATTGGTATAAATTATACATTTGTGCAAAGGAATCGCTAGAAATCGGGGACCTATATGAAAAAAGTAATGTACAAGCGCTGATTCACATTTCAGCTGATTTTGAATCTCAGTTCTTCCGGTGAGGATTCCTTGACATCTGTTTATCAAGTTCTTCCTTGATGGCAAGGACATCAATCGCTCTGCGATGCTGAGGATGCCAGAGCCGCTCGAGTTGCAACCAAACATCCAGGACCTCTTTGGGACCACAGCATGTTCCAAATGCTCGTAGGATAATGGTGATCATGCGGCGTCCGATGAAAACACCATTTTCAACGCGACGATCGACGTGCTGTCTAGGATCAGAATCAGAATGGGAGCGATGCCTGAACACTTCGTCGAGTTCATCTTGAGAGATAAAGTCATCTTGTTCATCTGGGATAGACTCCGATTCGCCTGGCTTGAGACCCTTGGGATCAGGGCCTTGTGTGGTAGGGGGCTCGGCCTTTTTCTCGCCTTCCTGTGGCTGCTCCGCAGCGCTGGGCTCTCCGTCTGCTGATGGCAAAGACATATATAGTCCATCGGGAGAATCGCTCACTGGCAGCTCTTCTTCCATGTCGATTTCCACAGTCTGAGCAAGTGGATTCTCCCATGCATTCTTGCGACTATTCAGGTATAGTCCACGAAGTCTCGCATTCGAGTCGTGTAAAGCCCGAATGTATGCGTGCCAGGTCAACCGGAGATTTTCTGGGGTCCATTGCTTTTTCTTCCGACCATGGATGGCAAATCCTTCAAATAGGAAGAGATAGATGATGCCGCGTGGGGGGACCTTGAAGGTCTTTTCCATGTCACCTACAACAGCCATGAAACAGTCCAGCTGACCAGATGTGTAGGCGTAGTGTCGTAGGAAGGTGTAGAAAGTCCGCGTGTCGGGTGACAGAGAGAGAGAGTCCTGAAGGGCACGGTGATATTCGGGATACTGATGTTTGAGGGCCAAGGACTTCTTCAACACACGGCCTAACTTTTTTGTTTTTTGTCGATATTCTGGCATGTTGTAGGTCAAGTCCGCAGTGCCAGATCGAACCAATGCTCCGTCTTCGGAATTGCGATTGGCATTGCGTTCAATTTGCTGCTTTTCTAGCATGCGTGCGTACAGCTGCTCTGCTGTTTGCCGCTCGCCTGCCTGCAGGAAAGAAGCGATGAGGCAGTTCATGACAACCGTGTCGACGATCTCCCCAGATTGCACGAAGTCATCAAATGTCCTTCGAATCCCTTCTGCATCCCGGATCATGCCATAGTAGTAAATTTTGGAGACCTTTCCGCAGCGCGAGAAGCCCATGCCCCGCTTGACCATCTCCTGCTCTAGTCGATTCGCAACCGAAAATTGACCAGCTTTGATGGCGATGTCGAATAGGATGTTGAAGACCACTTCGTCAGCTTGCACACCAGCAACATGTTCCATCTGCTGCCACAGGCCAATAGCTCGGATAAGGTCTTTCTTCAAAACCGTGCCATTCGCTCGGCCAGCTAGGTGGATGGCAGAAGACCAGAGTGAGAGGGATACAGGAAGCCCGGCGAGTACCATGTCCTCCACCAAGGCCAAGTAGCGACGAGCATCTACCCATCGCCGGTCTCGCGGATTCGCAAACCGACGCAACAAGGCACCGCGTGTCCGCTTTGAGAGTAATGTGATGCCTGGAGCAGGAAGCTCTCTGTATAATCGAAAAAGGTATTGAGTGGAAGCGTTTCTTTCTTGCCACAATGTGGTGACAAGCTCAGCAACTGCCCGGCTCTCGGTTTCATCACGCGACACATCTTTCGTCATTTTGTTAAATTGCTGATAGGACGCCACAGCATTTGCTGCTCGTTCCCAGTCATGATCGGCCAATAGTTTCCGATACAACGTCAATGTAGACAAGTATCTCTCTTTGTCGGGACTCAGATATGGTGGAGGTGTTTCAAGAAACTGGCCATCGGTTTCCGTCAATCCAAGGCCAGGATCGAATGATTCGTTATTCGACTGTGTTATATGGTGGTAATCTCGTTTCGAGTCCTGTCTGTGGTGCTGTTTTTGTGGTTTCCTATCCGCAGTCTCGGTCACCCACAAGGGTATATAATCGTTGTCTTCCTCCGCTTCCTCCGGCAATCTCGCATTGGTTTCTCCTCCTCCTCCTTCTTCCACACTATCATCATTCGTACGCGCCAGTCCGTTGCTGATCAGTCTTTTGGGTTGCGACAATTGCAACCTGGAGCTTGAATACTCCGGCTGGGTTTGGGATAGTTGTCCACGACTATTCACCCCTTTGCCTCGAATACTTTGTAGATTGCGGTATGGGGGACTCCAGGATATTGTCGCAAACCCTCGGCGGCGCGGTGAATGTTCATGGCAGAAGCTTGCCAGAACCAGCGAGCCGACAAAAATATCTGCTATTGACGCGACGGACGGACGTGGACGGCGAGAACAGATTCTTCGAACGGAGTTGCGAGAGGACGGAGTAGAAGACATTGGGGTTCGGAAGAAAGGAAGCTCATCCAAGGCCTGCCGGTGGTGATTTCGCAGGCCCGGTGAGCTGGGGGATCTATTGAGGTGAGGCATGAGATGGCAGACATCATGGCATTGAATAGGCCTCGCGCATCCAAAGAGTGCCGTTAGCCACTCGCACGGCAAGGAGTCGACCAATGCTGAGCGCTTGAAGCAAACAGCCAAAGGAAAAGAGTGACAAGCTGGACGGAAGAGGTGTTTTTCTGAAGATGAACGGGCTTGCAACTTTCTGGCCTGGCGGAGCCGCCATCGACCAATCGGAGCCCGCGTTTGCCAATCCCATCTTTTTCGCTCCCGCAACCTCCTTCGCTCTCATTGATTTACTCCCTTCCAGCAATATCTCTTTGGTCTGGATCGTTGCGGTCGTGTTAGATTGCAATGGGCAAAATCAACCTCACAGCCCTGCGGGTGCGACAAACCGCGCTCAGCCAATTCGCCAGTGGCAAGACCAGCAAGCTGCCACAATGGGTCGACGTCGTTGGCGATATCCCTCCTGCTGAGACCCTCATCCGTACCCGTCCTCCTCAGCATCAGCTTGTTCAACAGCGCCTGAAGACTATTACTGGATCCACGAAGCCGCAGGTCGTCTTCGAAGTTCAAGAGAAGCGCAGGAAACCGAAGAAGCCCAGCCGTACCTTCATGCCCGTCGAGCTCAAATACGAAGAGGATCAATTGCGAACCGAATTTTTCCGTGACCACCCTTGGGAACTTGCTCGACCCCGTGTGCTGCTCGAAAGCACCGGTAAGGACTTCGAACACTACGATTGGAGCCGCATTGAACAGCCTGGTAAGCGGCTAGATGGCGAAAGGTGAGTTCGTTTTGTGGTTTTTCCTTCAAATTTTCAACCATATACCCCTCTGTAAGTTGGGAATTACCGATTCTAACGTGTCATGTTGCAGTGTTGTCCAGCGACAGCTATGGCTATTGAACAACGTCCCGGATATCAGCAAAAGTACCGCCTACGACATTGCTCGTCGAGAATTCTACCGACTTCGACTGAAGGAAGATATCCAGCGGCGCGTTGCCGCCGAGGAGGCAGCTGCTTACGGCGCAGAATTCGGACCATCATACCTGGACATTGGTATGAAGCAGGAGAGCGAACAATACGACAAATGGGTTGCCTGGGCTCGTAACCAGGCTCAGGTGATGAGCCAGCGGACAGCAGCTCTCAGTGGTGCCCCAGAGCTGGCGACTGAGTCCACTGAGACCGATGCTGTCGAGGCCGATGAGAGCGACGAAGTGGCCACTCAGTAAGGGTCTGATACGGAGGGGATTGGACTCGGGTCATGCTACCTGCCCTTTTGTGGGAGCAGCTGACCGAGTCTTTCATATTGATTGTCCATGTACATTATTTGATCTTATTTACGCGATAGCACAAGCATTTACTTTACCTTCAATTGCTTCAACTCTTCAAGCACAGGTTGTCTAAACAATCTAGTATTGTTAGGCAAATATATAGTCCAGAATATCGTCTATAATCCCATTTAACCTTACTTAGAAACAGTCGAGCATAGTCAATGGGCTCGCGCAGCTCTGGTGTGTTTCATCCAATCAGAGGATTTCCAGCCTCACCAACTTCAATGTTTCATTCCCTTGACTCGACATTCAGACATTCAAACATCCAAACTCCAAACTCGACTCGTGGGCTTTTGGGATCTTCAGTAGATCCATCGATCTTTCCTGCGGCATTCCTCGACCTACTTTCCCCCGTTTCTTTATCACCTTCGCAGGGATCCGATCTCCGTTGCACAGCTTCCCTCTCGAACCAGCTTCGCAGTTTGCCAGCTCCAATTCACTCGGCCTCGACTTTCCTCTCGTCCCTTTATTCTTCCTATCGCCTCGAGGCTCGCTTTTAGTTTCGCGTTGCCGAGATAGCCGTCCCCTCGATACGACAGTCGACGATGCTTTGCCCAAGTACCCGAAACACCCTCGCATTTTAAAGGTCGGCCAGCTGGGAAATAAATCTCGATTAGTGGCGCATCAACTACTTCACGAAACAGCCGCATTGTGCGTGCCTGATCGACAACTTTTGGCTTCTACTAGCCATGACATCCGCGATGACTCGTCCCGAGGACACAGTGCGCGGGCTGCGCTTGTACCGCGGTGACGCGGAAGATGATGAGACGGAAACTGGACCGTCAGATTCAGGAAGCTCGCTGCCACTATCACATAATGAGGGTTCTCCATACCCAGACGACGAAGGCAGTCGCCCAGGCACCTCTTTAGGGGACTACTCGGAGAATAGCAGACAATCGGCTGGTCCGAAAATGCTTACCCACGAAGAGACGATTGAGCTGGCGCGGCGCGCTGTGGAAAGCGGGATTCAAGATACCAAGCGTTCCCTGGCCGGTAGCGAGGCCGTCACGGATGTGGTCAAGCCGAAGCTGACTATTGACCTGGGCCACTCACATATCGTTCGCATGCCTGAGCCTGTGGTGGATATAATCAAAGATGAGGTCGAAAGGTATGTCGAAGCCCTAACTTGGGATGCTCAAGTCTTCGAGCGTTGCGGTGCCTAGTATCAGGATACGGCGCGCCGGTTGGGATTCCACTAACTTTTGAAGGCTCTCCCTCTCCAATAACTATCTCTTCCATATACCTTACCGCTTCGCAGAGTGCTTGCATCTTCGTTATCTCAATATCAGAGCGAACAACTTCCGTGAATTCCCCAAAGGAGTATGTGCTCTGCCTATGATATCTTTGTGCTTCAGATGCTAACCCTACTAGATCTACAAACTGCCATTGCTGGAGATACTCGACTTGAGTCGAAACAAGATTAAGGAAATTCCAGATGAAATCAGCAAACTAAAATCCTTGCGAGTGCTCTCGGTTATGCAAAATCGCCTCGAAGACCTGCCAGTTGGGCTCTCCGAGATGCCCAAGCTTCAAGTTATCAAGTGTGCCGGAAATCCCCTACGGTCTCGCTGCGCGCCATATTGGAAGAAACCGAGGCTGAGATGGCAGAATCTGGGATGACTGACAATGAGAAAGAAGTCGCATCTACGGCAGAGCTAAAAAGAGGATTGAAAGCTCGACTTACGGCTACTACACCCGAGCCCGAAGTCATTCCCGACTCAGGGTATGTCTACACAATGATCTGGAATATGACGAAGTAAGCTAAGACTTTGCAGAGATGGCATTATGGATGCATTCAGGCCAGCTCCTTCAAAACGGAGACCGAGTGCCCGATTCCCTGTTATCCCCAGCACCGGTGATAGTTCGGCCGCCTCTTCTCGATCTCCATCTATCTCAAGACCACCTCCCATCCCTGCAAAATCACACTATCGCATGGCTTCTGGGCAACAAGGCGCTACTTACCACATGCCCGGTCTTCAAAGACCCGGCGTGGCTCCTCATGCCGTGAATGAACGCAACAGAAGCAACAGTGAAGGTATCATTCAGGGATCCTCCGCTGCTCGAAGCAAAAGGATGGGTGTCATTACTCGCAAGAACACTGATTTAGGTACACTGGATGAAACACGTCCCTACAGAAACAGCCATCTACGCGGTCTCAGTCATGGTTCTGTACTTCGACCTCGTCCGGCTCCGCCTACTCCTGTCAGCGGCAGCAGTTCTTCAAGTCCCAGTAGCCCACGGGAGCGTCGACGTGTCCGAGAAGGCTGGGTCAATCGGATGTCTAGCCTGCCCGAGCACAAGGGAGAGCGAGGATCGGATGAGCCAATCATTAGGGGAGCGAAAGGCATTCTGTTTGCTCTCTTCCAGGTTCATTCCCATATCTCCACATTGATCAATGTGATCAAACGTGATGATACCAGACGCCACAGCCTTGAACTTGTATTTCACAATGCCTCCTCGCACGTTGAACGCCTTAACAGTGCTCTCGAGAGTGCTGAAGTTGCGTTGCTCGAAGACCCTGGTTCGATTGCATCTGTCACGGAGACCGTCAGACGTGAATGCGAGACTTGCATCGTTGCTTACACGCACGTCGGCACGCAGCTACGCAACAGCTCTGCCAAGATTGTCGCCAACGGCGATCCCCGTTACGTGAGATCGCTGATGCTTATGATGTTTGGCAGCCTTGTTGAACTGCGAAATGCTTGTACTATTCTAGAAGCTCCGATCCAAATGGTCAACAAGCGTGCCTCTGCTACAAAGCGCCTGGCTCCTGCCAATGCTCTCACTTCCATGCCCAGTCGGTCTCAGCCCTCGCTTGTTACTCCAACAAGAGATCATGCTCCCCCGACACGACGATTGCGAAGCGACACAACGATTCGTCATCCTCAATTCCCCATGGCCATGACATCAAGCCACAATGGCACCAATTCTCCCAGTTTCTCGACGCCTACTTTCACAAGTTTCTCGCGCAGCCGCTCTAGCAGTCGGTCAAACTTGATCAACTCGTCTATGCCACACTCCTTAGCAACCCCTCGCTCGGGCGAAACCTTCCCTCCTATTCCTGCGTCCGGTACTCCTCGTATCAGTACATTGACTGGGCTGGACGAGAACGAAGAGGAGCGAATTTTCGAGAAGATCTTCCACCAGCTTACCTCTGCATATACAGCTGCATTTGGGGCTCTTCCTTTGGCCCGCCGGCAATTCAACCGCTGCCTGGAAATGGCCCAACAATCACGGTCCCCCGAGGGAATTCAAATGGTCTGGACCAACCTCATCCGTCGATGCCGATCTTGCCAGGAAGTCTCTGAGGCTCTAGGACAGCGTCTGTCGACCATGAAACTCAAAGAACCAGGTGGTGGGCTCCGCAACCAACGCGAGTTCTGGCAGCTCTGCAAAACATTTATGCAAGCCTTCGTCGACCTAGTGACCGATCTGCGCGAGGTCAAAAACATGCAGCTCCTCCCACAAGACATCGTCATCATCCTACGCCCAGTTCAGAAGGCAAGCCGCGAAGCAGGTCGCCTGATCGAGGTATCTCCTTGGGCCTATCTTGCGGACATGGCCACAAAGGACACCCCCGGTGGTGCCTTGTACGGACCTCCCCTTCAGGCCCCGCATTCGCAACATCAAACCTCCGTTTCTACATCTGCCATCACATCCCACCCCTCTTATCATCTCAATACGACCGTCCCACAGTCTGTCACTGTTCCTGCCACTCCGCTGAGCGCGGCTCTCGGTCCTGCTGCGCAGGCCACCGTCCCATCTACACCAGCAAGTGCATACAGCGACAAGTTCTTCGAGGGCGATGTCTTCCAACGTGCGGACTCACTTCTCTCAATGCCAAACCAAGCGCCTTTCTTCCGCCGCTGAGTGGCTTTCATATTTTCCGAAGTATCCGAGAGAAACCGTTTGTTTCTCCATACCTCATGATTGTGCATGCTCATTCTTATCTGCATCTTATGATTATGACTTGGCGCAATTTATCATGCATCCTTGGGCGCCAGTGAATATTATTAGCTGGTCTGAACCTTCCCCGTCCTTGTTTTGGCGACTTCATATCCCGATATCTACTCTTTACCTTCTTTGACTTAGCGAGTTGATATCTTTCGGCAGGTCAAATTTTTCTGACCAATTGAATATCTTTATCTGTTTCAAGACCCTAAGTATTATAAAAAGTTTATTCTTTTACAAATGTACCTTATGCACTAAATTGGTGGATGGAACGAGCTTAACATGAGCGGACAGTTGAGCAACTCTCGATCCTCTACTCGCTCCTATTTACTGCAGCTTTTATAAAAAGCTGATACGGCGACATTTAGTGGTACTCCCTGTGAGATCCTACCTTCTTCGTCATTATCCATTTCATTCAGCTCACAGGATACACAATTCAATAATGATTTAAGAACAGTTTAGACCACCCATATTCTATCATTCCTTTGATCGTTTATCTAGCATGGTAAAAATCAAGTTAGCTTCAACTTTCTCCTAGGTCTTTGATATGTGTATAGCATGTTCTCCGTAAAGGCTTTCGGACGATGTCGACAGAATGTTACATCATCTGAGAGAATCACTTAAAGCAGTGTGATCTCTAAATTCAGGAAGGGTTTTCGTCATTTGCCTTATGTTCCATGGAATGGAACAAATGGTAAGGGATGGAATCAATACTTACCATTGGATTTCCTCTGTTGAGCGGATATATATTTAAACATATATCGCGACTTTCAACAATGATAGCACGACTTGCAACTGTAGGTTTCATTTCTAAAGATGATTTACATCGCGTCTTTTGATTGATATATATTTATCATTTCTCAAGTTGGTACTTATTATTGACATCTAGGTCAACATTACTCTGCTCCATGAAGACCTCCTAATCAAACCATCCCCACTATAGATACCATTCTCACAAAACACACTCATAATTAACACAATGTGCATACATCTATTGCAATAGTTACTCATAATTACTTGGTGTCTAATCGCTCGTTGTAAACTGGGGTAATCATGAGCCAAAATGAGTCATGATGCATCAATATGAGCGGGGTTGTCCAGGTGTATTAATGAACAGCCAAGGACTAGACAATAAACATATGATCTTGTTTGTAACTTCACTAGCTGTTTTATCATTCCATCGAGTTTGTAGGGGCGGGAATAATCTAATAGAGTTACTGTCGACCATTAGGTTATTCGCACTGAGACCATGTTGAGGCATCTGCATAGGATGTCGGTCAGATATTATGTCTGGTTACTTGACGTTTATTGTGTCTCTCTGAGTTTGACACAATATAACTTGATAGAGTAAGTTATGTTTTGGATTCCTTTATTATGATGGTTCGGGACAAGTTGAGATAAACTAACTCCTCGACTTATATAAACTAAACAACAAACACCAAGATCTCCTTGCAGATAGAGATCTTCTACAGTATGCAATCCCACGGTAATATCCGCAGACGTAAATTCTTCAGAAAAGCCAAAGAAAGTACATTGTATAAGTGGGAACGAATGTTGCAAGGGATAAGACTGCCGGATGTTGATCGCCGATCGCGCACGGACCAGGCGCCGTTCGCGTTCGGCGGTTTCAGACTTGAACTACAACGCTGCAACTGGTAGACGGAAATGGTGTAGATATTCGATTGAATGTTCTCAGACATCTGGTTGAACTATTAGCAGAAAAAAGAAAACTCAAATCAGAATACAAGCGCCAGTCTATAACCCAAAACGTCAATCAAACACCAAAACCCCTTGCCAATAGGCAGTATAACGAACGCCTTCCACAGTAAACGCCTGTGGATGAAAAGACCCTCCAAAAATGCAAGTGCAGGATGGGACGCTGAAGAGCAATTCAAACAAGACACTTGAAGCAAATAGAACAACTAATAAGAGAAGAAAGCAAGCAAGCAGTAAACAAAAAGTAAGCAGATTATATCAACGCAGGAGCAAGATCAGCCATTGTAATCTCATCACGGAGATACAACAACGGAGCCCAGACACGCCAGTGCAAGACGCCCATATGGGCAAGGCGCATGCCAATACGCTCGATATCAGAAACCTGCGATGTAAGCTGCTGCGACGAAGCACCCGCAGATCCAGATCCCGCAGCCGCAGACGAAGAACTTCCGGGAACAGGAACCGAAGACGATGGCGGGGTGCGCTGTGATTCGCAGATGGCCAAGGGTGACAAGGGCAGATACCTGCGAGCAGATGCCAACGTAGTATCGAGTACCTTTCCGCGCATACTATTCTGGAAATAGCGGAAGAGATCGGATTCATTGGATAGGTGCCACTCCAGCGCTTCCTCAATTGGGGCGATGACCTCGTCGGCGACGACGGCGTCGAGTTGCAATGCTGCACAGGCGAAGCGGGCGATTTCCAGGGCGATGCAGCGCATATTTTGGGTCCAGCGCTTGCCGCCGCGGTGGTCTGGGTCGTCGTCGTTGGCGACTGGGTTACTGGCGATGCGGCTTTCCATGTCTATTCCGTCTTCCATCAGGGACCAGATGCGCGTGCGGAAGGTGGAGTAGGTTTCCTCTGGGGCGGAGAGGTACCGCTTGTGCTTGTTGACATAGGACTCGAAGATGTACCAGGCGATGTCGAGGTTGATTAGGTTTTGGATTGTTGAGCGGAGTTGCCAGAGGCGTTCGCTGTCGAAGAGGAAGGTTTCGGGGAACTCGTCTGGTGGGTTGAATTGGAGGAGCTGGTCGGTTATGCCGCGGAAGAGTGCTTCGATAGGCTTGAGGGCGTCTTCTGTTTCGGAAGTTGCCGTATTCTGGGATTGGGTTTGGTCCTTTTGCGCGTCTTCTTGCCTAGCTCGGTCTCGCACTGCTAGGTACCAGTGGCGGGCGGGCTCGACATGGAAATTGCCCCGGTTGATTTTGCCTTGGAAGTATTCTTGAAGGAATGGCACGGTGTCTTCGATTAGGAGAACGCGGAACGCGCGGATTTGGTGGTTGGCGACATCCTGGGAGACATGGGTTAGTTATGATATACTATGAGAGTACTCGGAACCTACCAGTTTCATTGCTTCCAAGATGGAGAACAACGTTTGTAACCCATTGACAATCTCCCGCGGATCTTGTGACTGTGATCCTTCTCGGATCTGCTCAACCATGCGATCTGCCCACTCGTCTCGCATAGGAGCACAGTGTGTCTTGAGAAGTGCAGCCAACCACGTTGCCAAGGTAAGCATATCAAGAACACCCTTGCGTATTTGCTGCATAAGCAACGGGACCTCCAGATTCTGCATGACAGTTGGATGATCCCGCTCTGGAACAAGGGTTTTGATGACATCCTGCAACGTCTCGAACAAGGCGGGCAAACGGGGGTCGAAGGTGCGTCGGGAACCGTCAGTCGACTTGACTTCCTCGATACTGATATCGGCAGTGGCAGCCCGGAAGGAGTAAATTGCGATCTCCAAGGCCAGTGAATCCCAGTAGTCTGCAGCTTCTTTCTTCTTGCGTTTGCCTTTCTCCCCGTCTAGATCGGGCTTGAAGTGCAAATCGCGGTCGAAGTTGGCGTCCATGCGAAGGTTGATGTTGCTCATTATACAAGGCAGGTCGAGCTCGCTGAGCGTTTTCTTCGTGACCGGCGGAGACCTCCGTGCCTTGCGCAATAGCCGCTGCTCGCGGGAACTTAGTCCCAATGCTTGCGGTATACTGATAGCTTCCGGTGATGGCGAAGGCTCTCGCTGCCGAGTCACGGCAGACGATGCCGTTTGTTGTGAGCCGTGCGGATATGCGAATGGCTGTTGACGACGACGGAGAGGATGAATCGAAGCTCGATCATCATGGTTGTGAGAATCTCGCCTCTCGTTCTTGCGATACTCTTTTGAACGACTTCCTCCACCGCCATAGGCCTCAAGGGGCCCTTCAGCGCCCTCCTCCTGCGTTCGGGCCTCCTTTGTGCCCTGTAGATCCATGTTTAGATACGAGACGTCCCTACTCGGGGTGTCAGATAAATGAAGATTCCGGAAATGACAAGGCCACACCAAGTACCAAACCAAGGCGCAGACCAGACCCCTATGCAACTCACAAGTTTAGAAGCCCCCTGTTTGCCTGAGGCAGGCAGCCAATCCGCAGCCACCGAAAAGTGATGCAAGTGAGCTGTCAATTGCGGTGGAGCCGAGGATAGCTTGGTTCTGCAGCAATTACCTCGTGGTCCAGGGGTGAAGTTAGTTTTAAAAATAATAGTAAAGAAGAGCCGTGGTAACGAATAAAGAATAAAAAATATAGGGGATTAAGCGCGTATAGTTAAACACAAGTCTCAGGTGATGAAAGACCAAGAAAATAGCAGAACTTTCAGGGCAAACAATAGCCCAGGCCTCGAGAACAAATCAAAGCAGAAAAAAAGAAAAGAAAAGAGAGAAAAAGGAGCGATTGGCAAAGCGACCGGGATGCACAGATATAGTCAGTGTGTCCCCAGACACCGGATTCGGGTGGACGCAACCAGTTCTGCGCATTCCTCTGCTGTTACCCGCACACATCGAGACTGGACTGGTTTATTTGGGCTATTGCGTTAGATCGTCGCATCGGATCTGATGTGTTTTCATGTAACTCGATCGGGTCGGGGAAAGGGGCAAATCCGCCTCACTTTGAAACGTGAAACCAGTGCATTGGCCACGTGAGTCTCCTATTTGCATACTGGATGCAGTCAGTTTGCAGAAGGATTTGTTGACCTCTGCAATCCTGCAATGACAGTGTATCGAATGGTCAACTGATCGAGTGATCGACTCGAGAGTACACGAGTGTATCGAGGAGTGAAGCATCGGGTGGCTCGTCGGGATTGGAATGTTTTCGGGTTTGGCCTGAGAAACCTGGCCTAACATCCCTTCCTGGACTTTCATACTTCCCACTGCAATCTCGGCTTCTTTTTCGGCTGCTATTCGGTTGCTATTTCGACTTGTTCTGTTTCAATCATTGAGACACTACTGCAGAGAGCAGCAATGAACTCGCCACGCTCGAGCCTCCCGATCACCGGGACTGAATCAGCCCTATTGACGCCCGAATCAGGAACCATTCAATAACATCCGCCTCAATAACCTCATGTCTCAAAGGATGCAGATAAAAGGGATGTTTTCCACGTGGAGTCTCTTTCCCATGTGCTTTCCATCTTTTCTGGAACTTCATACTCTATACTGGGGATCGTTGATCGCCAAACTACCTGTGGTTGCTATCTCCGATCATGAATATCGCGGCATTGCTATACTTCCTGAATGTCATACGGGCCACTCCGGCATTTGTCTTCTCCAGGGCCACTCGATCATATGGTATTTCCCGATTCGAAGTACATTCTTTACCGGATAGTCCTGCGCTGCCAGCCAGCTGGGCTGGTCGACTTCCGGTTCCGGGCAGAGCGGATGGGAATGACATCTTCTTTTGGCTGTTCCAAGCAGAGCAAGCGGTATACAATGATAACTTGATCAGTATGTCAAATTGGAAAACACACAAAATACGGCTACTAACGATATATAGTTTGGTTCAATGGCGGCCCTGGCTGTTCATCTTTGATAGGGCTTACGACCGGCAATGGCCCCATCTTGTTTGATGGCAACTCGACCAAGCTCGTTCGCAATCCGAAATCGTGGACTAAACTCGGCAATGTCTTGTATGTCGATCAACCAGTCGGCACAGGCTTCTCAACAGCCAGTTTCCCCTACCCGGTCAAAGACAATGCAAGAGTGACGGCCGACTTTGCACGCTGGCTACATGCCTTCTTCATGCACTTCCCACACCTTTCATCGAAGCAAATACATCTAATGGGCGAGTCATATGCCGGCATCTACATACCATACTTTGCATCCGAACTCCTCAATGGCAAGAACACACTACCACTGGACGTGCGTTCAATGTCTCTCGGCGATGGCTCGTGGGGCAACGGAGCAGCCATGTCATCCGTCGCAATGGGAGCCTATCTGAGATCCCAATCATCACTTCTCAACATTCCCGAGAACATCCTCTCCGTCTTCGACGAAGCAGACGAAACCTGCGGGTTCAACGATGTGCTCGAGCAATCCGCAGTCTACCCACCAAATAGCAAAATCCACATCCCAGGGAACCCAGAGTACTTCAACTTGAAGCGCCGCCGCCGCAGAGACATGACAGACGCCCTAAACTCAACATGCAACATCTTCCCAACAACCCCAGCCGAAGTCCGCGCCTCAATCTTCAACTCGACCTGCTACGGCCCCTGCGCTGCCCACTCAACAGCTATGGACTACATGACAACAACGTCCGACGACGGCTCCAGAAAACCAGCCTGCTACAACGTCTACGACATCAGCCACGACTGCAGCACTGTCTCCTCATTGCCATTGTTAGCAGAGTACTTCAGCCGCGCCGACGTCCAGTCCGCTCTACACGTCAGCAACAGCGGCACGTATGAAGCGTGTAACTCGACTATTCTGGGTACACTCCTCGCGGCGGAATCACCTGTTCCACCAGAGTACTCCATCATCCCGTCTCTGATTACCGAACATAATGTCTCGCTACATATCTACAATGGAGAGTGGGATATGTTGATCAATCACATTGGCACCGAGTTGTCGATTCAGAATATGACGTGGCGTGGTGCGCAGGGCTTCTCGCGGAAACCGAGTCGACCGTTTTATCCTGATAATGCGGCGCCTTCTTCGACTATCAACCCTATGGCAACGTTGGCTGCTGCTGCTACTACTCTCTCGACTATTGCGGCTACTGCTGCTCCTGCTGGTACGTGGACTATGGAGCGTGGTGTGTCGTATCACCTTTTCCGTGAGGCGGGACATAGTGTTTTTGTCAATAAGCCAAGGGAGATGTTTGCATTTGTGAGGGATGTGGTTGTTGCTCCGAGGAGTGGTTGAGGTTGGGGGATCAGGGCTGCCGTACCTGGGGATATTTGGTAGACTGGATGGGCAGAGGGGCGCTTCAGATGGGTTTCGGGGTTTCGGTTTGTATTATTTTTTATCTTGTTATTTATCTCCCTTCAGCCTTTTTTTTTTTTTTTTTTTCTTTATGGGGAAGTAGTCTGGAACATGGTATGCAGACATACTTCTCATGCACCACACAATGGTATTTTCATTACATCTTTGCACGACTTCGTTTCTCTTATGTTTTTCTTAGTCTCATAAAACAGGGGTCATAAGCGGGTATACAGTGCCACTGATGAAGAATTGGACAGTCTCTGCAGGAAACCAAACCACGAAGCGAATAACTTATACCATTTCAAACATTGTTTTCGCACTAATTTGGCCTCTCTTTTTTCACCCCTTTTCGCTCATCCTCGTGTGCCTCAGGTTGTAGTTGTTTAAAAATGCTGGGTTAGTCATATACAAGGGGGCGTTAAAGGACTTATGGCCTACGTCTGTATTTCTTTTTCGCTTCTAGTCATAGGCACCGCGGCAACGGCTACTACCGGAGACGAAACCTTGAGTTAGTCGTCGGGTAGATTGGCATACAACTTCGGGGCGACGGCGCGCGACGGCCAACGTTGTTAGCAGTCTTGGCTTGTCTCGGCTTGCAGATAACGCGGCCCACTCTCATTTGTAAATTCAATGACGGATGTATGTATTGATATCGGACAGCTTCGGAGGGTTCATAGACATATATAGGGATATTTGAAGCTATATTGATCCCGCTTTATCTATCTTGGATGTGAACAAATAATAGAACCACATTAACTCTATTTAGTTTCATTGGTCAGTGTATATTCCCAAGTCTTGATATCGTTTGACTGACAACGTGAGGTTGAATAGATCCTCCCAATGATACAAAACCACTCCACCGGAGGCGAGGAGCAGCCTCTTACTATTTCTCAATGGCGTGAATTACAAGAAACTGTTTCCGAGCCAACTCACATTTTGTCGCTGCTCGAGCGAGCACAACCCAACACATCAAATGCATGGATCTCATTAGCAACACCTGAACAGATCATCACGCAGTGGGAGAACATCACAGCACTTCAATCCGAAGGAAAAGATCTTCCATTATTCGGCGTGCCATTTGCCGCCAAGGATAATATCGACGCCGCTGGGTTCTGCACAACGGCCGCATGCCCATCATTTGGCTCTGAGCCCGTCACCACCGATTCAACCGTTGTTCAACGATTGAAATTGCAAGGAGCCATTATAATTGGCAAGACCAACCTGGATCAATTTGCCACGGGTCTCGTCGGTACCCGATCACCGTATGGAGCCGTTGCCAATACTTTCGATCCAAAGCGAGTCAGCGGCGGAAGCAGCTCCGGGAGCAGCGTGGTCGTTGCTCAGGGGCTAGTTCCTTTCTCTCTTGGAACAGATACAGCAGGGTCAGGAAGGGTACCTGCTGGCTTCAATAATCTTGTTGGACTTAAGCCCACGCGAGGGGCTTTGAGTGCACATGGCGTGGTACCGGCATGCCGCTCACTTGATTGTGTTTCCATTTTCGCCTTGACGCTGGAAGATGCAGACCTCATCCTGCAACTGGCCGAGGGGTATGATGTTCGAGATTCATACTCGAGAGATCGGGCCAGCTGGGCGACTGACAAGTCTCCTCGAGGAGCTTTACCCTCCCAACCGAAGCTGGCTATATGCTCCAACCCTGAATGGTTTGGCCGGACCGAGCAGACTGGGCCATATCAAATGGCATTGGCCAAGGCCGAACTGCTGGGGTGGAAGCTAGAGTCCGTTGATTTTTCACCCCTATTCTCTCTTGCCAACCTCCTGTATGAAGGCCCATGGGTTGCCGAGCGATATGCTGCAATCGAGGAGTTTATACGCTCTGTGCCATTGGAGGCCATGGACCCCGTAGTTCGAAGTATCATCATGAAAGCCGAGCAGTTCTCTGCTGCAGATCTCTTCGCGTGCGAATATAAGCGACAAGACCTGTCCCATGAGATCGAGCAGATCTTTGGGCAGTACGACGCGCTGCTAGTACCCACGGCTCCCACATTCCCTACAATGCAAGATCTCATTGATGAACCGGTCGCGGCAAACAGTCAACTGGGTAGATATACCAACTTCGTGAACTTCCTGGATTGGTCTGCTTTGGCAATTCCGGCTGGCTGGAGAGAAGACGGTCTTCCGTTTGGCATCACGTTGATAGGAGGGACATGGGAAGAGCCGCGATTGTTAAAGCTCGCTCGGCGCTGGATGTCTGATGGCCCACGTTTGCTGGGAGCTACGGGTGTGGAATATCAAGAGCTCTGCTTTGAGCTTCCTGTTCCCGTCAATTCGATGCAGCTGGCTGTAGTCGGTGCCCACCTTTCCGGCTTCCCTCTGAACACGGATTTGGTCTCGCGGGGCGCTACCTTGGTCACTGCTACAGCTACAGCCCCGTGTTATCGGCTATTTGCACTGCATACAACAGGCCCAGTATCAAAGCCTGGCCTGAAGAGGGTCAGTGATGGTGGCGAGTCAATCGAAGTGGAGGTTTGGAACATGCCGCTGGACAAGATTGGCAGCTTCCTCGGTACTGTTGCAGCGCCCTTAGGCATCGGATCCATTGAACTGCAAGATGGCCAATGGGTTCACGGGTTTATTTGCGAGCCTGTCGGCCTCGAGAATGCAAAAGACGTCACTAGCTTTGGCGGATGGCGAGGGTACACCCAGTCACTCACCAGTTCTACCGCCGAATCGTCGCGCGTCGCATCTCCTACACCTGCAACCAGTCTCGGTGAGAAGCGTATCACGACAGTTCTGGTTGCCAACCGCGGTGAGATTGCACTGCGCATCATTCGGACTTTGAGTGAGATGAAGATCTCATCTGTGGCTATCTATTCAAGTGCCGATGCTCGTGCGCCACATGTCGCTGCTGCCGATGTTGCACTTCCCCTGGCTGGGAACACAGTATCTGACACGTATTTAAACGGCAAGCAGATTCTGGATTTGGCTATCAACGCTGGTGCTGATGCCGTTATTCCTGGATATGGCTTTCTCTCAGAGAATGCTGACTTTGCCGCCGCCGTTGAGGCTGCAGGTCTTGTATGGATTGGTCCAACTCCGGAGCAAATGAGAGACTTGGGCTTGAAGCACTGTGCTCGTGATATTGCTATCACAGCCGGCATCCCCGTCGTTCCTGGAAGCAAGGGCTTGGTTACCAGTCTTGAAGATGCACTGGCAGAAGCAGACAAGATCTGCTATCCAGTGATGGTGAAAAGCACCGCTGGTGGAGGTGGAATTGGCCTTCAGCGGTGCGCCGATATTGATGCACTTCAAGAAGCATTTGATGGCGTTCGTCGACTGGGGCAAGCAAACTTTGGCGATGATGGAGTTTTCATCGAGCATTTCATCGACCGGGCACGACATATCGAGGTCCAGGTGCTCGGTGATGGCGCTGGTCGAGTCATTTGTGCTGGAGAGCGCGACTGCTCACTGCAGCGTCGGAACCAGAAAGTTGTCGAAGAATCTCCTGCTGGGTTTGTCCCAGTTCGAGTTCGAGCTGACATGCGTCGGGCTGCTGCTGCTTTGGTTGTTTCCTTGCAATATCGCAATGTTGGTACTGTTGAGTTCATCTTCGACATCGACACCGAGAACTTCTACTTTTTGGAGATGAACACACGTCTCCAGGTCGAGCACCCAGTGACCGAGGCTGTTACAGGACTTGATCTTGTCGAATGCATGATGCGCATTGCTATGAATGATTGCACTTCTCTTTTCCCTCAGCAAATAAATGAAATCCAGGTCTCCGGTGCGGGGATTGAAGCTCGTATATATGCTGAAAGCCCCCTTCAAGGATTTCGACCCTCTCCCGGGAAGCTCTTGAATGTCGAGTTTCCATCTGATGTCCGCATCGACACTTGGGTCAGTTCAGGCCAGGAGCTATCATCGTCTTTTGATCCAATGATTGCAAAGATCATCGTATACGGCGATGATCGTCCTGCAGCTCTTCAAAAGCTCTCAGAAGCTCTGGCCAAGACAATCATTACTGGCGTGGAAACGAACCTGAGATATCTGCAGCAAATTGTTGCCTGGGAGTCATTTAGCTCTGGATCCTTCACGACAGGATCGCTCAATACTTTCCCATACGAAGTTCAAGCTGTTGAGGTCATTGATGCTGGGTCAAATACGGCTGTACAGGACTTCCCTGGCCGTCAAGGTCTTTGGCATATCGGCGTGCCGCCCTCCGGCCCAATGGATTCCTACTCGTTTCGTCTCGCCAACAAAATAGTCGGCAATGATGAAAATGCTGCGGGACTTGAGTGCTTGATCCAAGGCCCGACACTGCTCTTCCACTCTCCAACCACCGTTGCTGTCGTTGGTGCCAATGGCCCTCTATTTGTCGACGGGGAAGAAAAGAAGCCGGGCATAGCGATCAGCATTCAAGCTGGACAGAAAATTTCCATCGGAACAGCGACCAATGGTTCTCGAGCCTATCTTGCCGTTCGAGGTGGATTTCAAGTCCCTAAAGTCCTAGGCAGCCGTTCAACATTCGCAATTGGCCACCTCGGAGGACACAATGGACGCAGCCTTCGACGTGGTGATCTTCTTCCATTAGCAGATGTTACGGAAGAAGAATTTCCATTACCCATGGCCCCAATTATTCCTCTGCCGATACCTGAGAACCGAGAATGGGTCGTTGGTGCGATCCCTGGGCCACACGGTAGCCCGAGTCATTTCACACAGGATGGGCTTCAGGAGCTGTTCAATGGTGAATGGACTGTCCACTACAACAGCAATAGGCTCGGAGTCCGCCTCACTGGGCCCCGTCCAGAGTGGGCAAGGCGAACCGGTGGTGATGCTGGTCTGCATCCCTCCAACATCCACGACAGTCCTTACTCAATTGGGAATGTCAGCTTCACCGGTGACGAGGCAGTTGTTTTGACAGCAGACGGGCCAAGTCTGGGAGGATTTGTCGCCTTTGCCACGATTGCGGAGGCCGAGATGTGGAAGTTTGGTCAGATGCGACCAGGCGATCGCCTTCGACTGCACCCTATTTCTCTTGATGATGCGCAGGCGCTCGCAGAGGCTCTCGAGCATTCAATCGCTACTGTGAGCCCACTGACATCAGAAGATTTGAAACACAAGAGCTCGACCGCAGTCTCCAGCCCGATCGTGAAAGAGATCACTGAGGCTGGCCGCTTCATTCGTTGCTGCCAGGCAGGTGATCGAGCCTTGCTGCTTGACTTCGGCAATGAAGATAACTTCACACTACGACAAACATTTCACATCATGAGCTTCATTGAGATGCACCGAGTTTCTCCAATCCCTGGCGTTGAGGAACTCACATCAGGAGTCCGAAGTCTCCATATTCGCTTGAAAGCAGGCTTCTCACTACCCCAAGTCCTTGATGCGCTGGTCGCACACGAGCTTTCTCTTGGAAGTAAACTTTCCTCTCGACTACCCTCACGCATCGTGCACATGCCTCTCGTTTTCGACGATGAGAGGAGCCGCAATGCCATTGCCCGCTATACTTCGACTATTCGTTCCTCGGCACCATATCTACCCAGCAACATTGAGTTTTTGCAGAAACTGAACGGACTTGACAGCCCTACTCGTGTGGAAAGCGTACTCTATGAAGGCACCTTCCTCGTATTGGGCCTTGGTGATGTGTATCAAGGGTCCCCCTGCGCTGTACCACTGGATCCCCGTCATCGACTCTTCGGAACGAAGTATAACCCATCCCGTTCCTTCACCCCCCGTGGTGCTGTCGGTATTGCTGGTCAATATCTATGCATCTATGCGACCGACTCGCCTGGCGGGTATCAGCTCGTCGGTCGTACGGTCCCTATCTGGGATGAGTTCCACAAGCCCCAACGAGGCGAGAAGGCCCCGTGGACCTTCTCGCTCTTGGACCAGATTCGGTTTTACCCCGTCTCCGAAGAAGAGCTATCCGTAGCGGAGGCCGATGGAACCTCCAGTGATCTCATCAAAATCTCCAGCGCTGAGCTGGATCTCGATGAATATGAGAAGTGGCTGAGAAAGAAAGAGAAGGATATCACTGCTGTTCGGGAGCAACGATCGAAGGCGATGCAAGAAGCGGATTTCTTCGATGATCTGCTCAAGCCTTACGATGCGGTCGCAATGCGACCAGGTCGGGGCCAGGAGAGTGACGAAGTTATGATCGGAGAGCGGGTGAAGGCACTTCTGCCTGGGAGATGTTTCCGTTTCGCTGTCAAGGAGGGAGACGAAGTTCAAGCAGGAGACCCACTGGTGAGTGCAATGAAAGTCGACATCGATAGTCAGGTACCAAGCTAATTATAGTTAGATCTGGGTCGAGTCCAATAAAATGGAGGTCAAGATATGTGCACCGGTCACTGGGAAATGTGTGAGACTGTTGGCCGCAGAGGGAGACATCCTTGAGCCCAGTGACGATGTTGTTATTATTCAATAGGCGATACGATATAACGAATGACGAATTATCAGAAAATATACAGTCATAAGCCTAAGACCTTTCACATCCCCACCATTATACAATCTACATGATCAACCCGAGGCACTCGAAAATGGGCAAAAAAGAGGTGAAATAAGAGAGGCCAACGTAGGGCGAGAATAATGCGTGAGACGGTATACTTGCTTCGACGCTTTCGTGTACAGTCCAAAACTCATCAGTGGCACTGTGTACACCTTGATGATCCCTGTTGTACCATGATATTGCTTCTTTTTCACATATCGTTGATAACCCTTAGGGAATAATATTGCAACAGTTCTCGTAGACCAGTGGAGTAGGAGTAGGACCTGGCTACCTGCTTCCGAGGCGCTGCCTTGATATGGTACATGTCGAACCTCAGTGATCTCGAGCGCGCGGCGCTACGAGCAATGAAACTGACAGATGAGTATAGCTGGTACGACGTCCTCAGAAAACGTTTCAAGGTCGCACACAACAACGCGCTGCACGCCTTGAACAACACGGTCTACGGCTGACGTGATTTCTCCCGGGGAGTCGCAGTACGCTCGTAAGTCCAGGAAATCATCCGAGTGTGTGACGCCCTCGAGACGCCATATCCACCTAGGGACAGAATGGACTGTATTGAGCGCAACCTGGATGCCGCCATGCGCCTCAATGTCGCGGTGCCGACGTCGACGACAGTGTTGTCAGATTGGCTGCAGGTAAGGCATCACATACGCCAACTAGAAGGAGCAGTTGGAAAACAGGCAACGTGCGTTCACCTCCCGTGGCTGCCAGCTGCAATCAACCAGCCGGCAGGTCCAGTCCCAGCTGTCCCACCAGCCTGGCAGCCGGGATCTTCCGATCCATCAGAACGACCATCGGAGCCACGGAGCGCACGAGCGCTACGAGTCTCGGAAGGTCGCTGCCTTTAGAGCAGCCAAATCACCGACTTCTTCATGAATCATGCGAAGTGCCTCGATGGAGCAGCGGATGCCCGGACCTGCAGGACCCAGCGAAGCTTCTCAAGTTGTTCAACGTACCCCGCTGCTTCATCCATTTGTGGACTAGTTGCCCACAGAAGACCAGCAAAGGCACCGACTAAAGCCACCTGGGCTGCTGCTGCAAAGCCCCAAAATGATTGAATATGTTCGGGCTGGAAAGATTCAATCAGGTTCATCGCCGATGTCAGTCGGGCACGGGCAGCGGTTCGAATCGCCGAACGAAGAGAAGGAGCACTATCCGGTGTCAGAGCACGGAGTAACGCGCGATGCATGGTCAGCTCTGTTGCCATATGTGATAAATGCAAAGCACCGTTCGTCGATAGTCGTAATGAGGGCGTGGATTCCAGCTGAAGGTTGGCCGGCACTGCCGTATGCCATTCGCGCAACTCCATCGCCAGGGGTTTTGCCAGACTCATCGCACCTGACGGTCCAATCCGCTCAAGTAGTCCGCCCTTTTTTGTTGCGCCAATGGAGCAAAACGTGGAAACAATCCGACTAAAGATCTTTGTCAACTCAATAATTTGCAGGAATGCCGCCCGACCCGCGGCTCCGTCTACATCTCCGTCCCCATCCTCTTCACTGCTCGCATCTTCCGGAAAGTCGTTGAGTGTACACGCGGCAACATCCCAGTCGCTTGTCTCTTCGTTTTCATTAATCTGAGCAGGAATGAGAGATGGGCGTCCGTGCACAAGAACACCCCACTTATCCTGCATGTATAGCGCCCAGGCTAAACGTCGTCGTAGACCTTTCTCCCATTCCGGAATTTTCCAACCCGTACAATCAATATGAATTCCCAAAGTCTGCCCGAGTGATAGGAGTTGAGCCGGAAGAGTGTTGTGGGAAGACCTCATTCTTTGCAATAACAACAAGCCAGCCTGTAATGTAGAGAGTTTGGGCCGCTTCAGATCATCATCCATGGCTCGCATTGCCAGGTTCTCCAGAGCCTCGGCATCTGGTGTCCGAGGGGCCGTAGCGAGAATTCGATCAAAGAGCTTCCAGTCTAGCGCAACCAGGTAGACGGCAGCGAGGAGCGGTGGTGAGAATTCACGGTAGGACCGAGCATATTTCTCCAGGAACACGCCCTTGTCCAATATCGGAAACGTACGGTGCATGATACGAAAATAAAGATTTACCAAGGTTGGGCCCAGCGGACGTATCGATTCCTCGATGCGATCTAGGTCGGCGATGCGTTGCATTTCAGAAGCCGAGTCCTTGTCGGGATAGGTAATGAATGCGGCGGATTGATTCACACGTCGCGGATAGCATCTATCATGGTCGGCGAATGAGATGGCCGATGGCCGCAAATCAAGAAGTTCAGGTTCATGATAGCTCGCGGGACCAATATACTCGGAATGAAGATGAAGCTCTAGACCTAATGTACCATCTAGTCGTGAATTAATTGGATCAGCCGCGGTCTGCTCTTCGACAGAGCCAACAGTGGATGGAGTTAGAGAGCTGTGGTGTCTTTTTGTCCTTTGATAGGGTTAGCTAAGAATACTCCTGTTCGATATCGAAACGTACTTGGTTTCTGCAGTGTTCGGCGACTTCCTGGCCCTTTTCCGCGGCTGGGGACCCTGGAGAAATGTGCATTCAAGACCATTCAAATTACAAAATATGCAGTTGGCTTTCGCCGGCTCCCGTATACATCGCGACTTGCGATGACGGCAGCGATCGCATGGGCGTCGCGTAGGGTGGTGCGCCACCCTAGACGCGGACATTTGAGATCAGCTCTTGTGTTCTTCTTTGGGTGGAGATACCCTGGACACGAGATTATACACTCATTCGTCTAGGTTAACTGAATGGTCATGCTGACGATGTTGACATTGAGTTGTGCACGTCCCCATTTGGTTGAACACATGCCGAGTTTCACGTGACCGTGTATAGTCTTCCTTGTTCAGAGACGCGATATTTGTGGAACAAACCAGATTTCGTGAACTGAATATTTATGTAGCATGTGAAGCTTGCAGGCAATCGGTGCCTTTCTATCCGTGAACGATTTGGGGGCTACAGATACTATAATACCGACACATGGATATTAATGGACGCTCCGGCATGCCTTCTGCGTTGTGATGCCATAATATAGCGTTCAAATGACGAGAATACAGTAAGAAAAGATCATGTTAGCTATATGAAAAGGTAAAAGGAGCCCCCTTCCCCCCAATTTGACTACCCGTCTTAAGGCGTATCATTCGTCTTACTGTGTACGGTATATCCGTTGAAGTTTTTTGAGAAAGGAAAGATAAACAACATTGGTGTATCTCATGGTCTCCTCACTTTCATGTGTCACACCGTAAGCACATGCTTATCCAGCTCTGACCAACCAGAAGCCGACCCTCTTTCAACTTTCAGTGACCCTGCAGGTTCACCCACAGACAGCGAGTCACTGTCTATTTACCAGATCCAACCGGTGGTGTCGCTATCCCACCCTTGACGGTTCCTCTTTCGTAGAAGATTTTCAGGAATCTTAACTAGGTCAAACGACCATAGCCAGTGATTGTTGAGCTTCCTTGCAGACAGAACGCCCCAGTTACGAAACCCGAGCCAGTAACTAACCAGTATAGGTCAGTGAACGTACTCTAGAATATGGGTTACCCAAGAGCAAGCATTGACTTACAGGGTCTTGGTCGCCGAGTCCCATACAAGGTTGTCAGCATTGCTGGGTCGGGCCATGATGCCTATGTCGTTCATTTTTCTAACATAGGTGAGTCAGTTCCCTTTCAGACTGGGTGATATAATGGGCTTTAGACCAGAAGTCTTACTGCAAGGTTCTCTGAAACTCTGACCTGATAAGGTTTCGTTCTTTCAGATCAATATCCTAGAAATTAACAGTGTCGGTAGAGGGTTCCACAAGACGGATTCCGGGAACCTTTTCCCAAACCACAATAGTGAGAAAGCCACCGGGAATTAGGCCTTTACGAGGCTGTCTACCTTTCTCGTAGCTGAGAAGCTTTGGTGTGAACTTGATAACTTCTTTGTCGTCGCTCATGGTGCGATACGCCTGCAGCGCCTTGGGGTCAAAAAACACCGGTGAAGGTTCAGTCTGCTTCAGGCGCCTTGAGTACGGATCTCTGAAATGTGTGCGTTGTGATGTCACAAAAGAACGTCAAAGTGACCAGAACGCATCCAGGAAAGATCACATTAGCTATCAAACCCAGCTTTGGGAACCAAAATCACCTAGGTGTAATATCATATTCAAAGCCTGTTCAGTAACCTACTTCATAACCCATAGAGAACGAGACGTTCCACCCCCCTCACCCTCCCGGGCCCCCCAAAGACATGGAAAACAGACCCTGTTTTTCACTAGTAATGGATATCCCACACGTTGAAAAAAGGCAAATAATGCTAGTTAAATATTCTCAACCTAGCAGGTTACAAGTCAGATACCACCCACGATCATGACCTGTCCGTCCCTATGCCAGCTATTTGGCGGCCAAGCACTAGTAAAAGGGGGATGAATACAAAGAAGATAGGAGGAGGAGGAGGAGGAGAATATAAGGGCTTAGTAGAAGTGTGCCACGCGGTTGGGATACGTCTAATAAACAGTGAAAAAAACCAGAAAAAAAAGATCAGAAAAAAACACAGGAAATAACACTGCTGACTGCTTGTATCTCCAATATTAGTTGATATGAATAATTCAAAATATTCGAATAAGTTGAATGAGCAATAATATCTCCAGCGAGGATTCAGAAGTATGGAAAATCGCGAACTAGGTCCGTGCACGATCAACATCACCCCTTGGCATCCATTTGACCAATTCCAACAACTGCGCATTTCCAAAGATATCCGGCTGTGACATCATCCAAGATCAGATAAGATCCTATCTGATCTATATTCTACATCCCAGCCACAGCCAAAAGGGCAGGCGCAAATACACTTCCCAATGCGTCTCTCCGCCGCGCTCTGCTCACCCAATCACGCTTGGCTGGGATGCTTGAAATCAGCACAATTGCAGCGTATTGCGCGCGCCACAGGTATCCAGTCATCCGGAACGAAGGGTGTGCTTGTTGAGCGGATTGCGACGGAGTTGCAGTTGCAGCATGGTGTTGCCGGATGTCCAAACTCGACTTCCAGCAAGAGCAAGAGCAAGAGCAAGCCAGTGGGGCTCTCAGCAGCAATTACCAATGATGCTGCGCACTCAAAACAACAACTGCCGTGGAGTATCCTAAGCATCGACATGGGAGTCCAAAACCTCGCATTCGCTCATCTGCGGGTCTCCCGCTCTTCGGACTCTGCTTCTGCTTCTCCAGACCCAGACCATCCTCCAGAACTAGAGTTAACGGCATGGCACAAACTTGCCGTTTCAGAGATATCAAATCTGAACCTAATACCGACAACTTCAGACGACCCATCAATACCATCAGAAACGACGCTCCCTGTCACAAAAGCCAAATCAAAAGAAAAAGAAAACTACATACCATCTCGCTACGCCCAAAACGCCTACAAACTGATAACATCCCTCCTTGAGGCCTACAAGCCAACCCACATCCTAATCGAGCGCCAACGCTTCCGGTCCGGCGGCGGGAGCGCAGTGCAAGAATGGACACTGCGCGTTGGTGTCTTCGAGGGTATGCTGTATGCCATTATCCATGCGCTGCGGGAGGAGAGGGGCGGGCCTTTGCAGGATGTTGTTGTTCAGGGCATTGAGCCGAAGAGGGTTGTTCGGTATTGGCTTGAAAGTGGCACAGGGAATGATACCAATGAGAAAGGTGATGATGGGAAGGCGAAAAAACTTACTGCGAGGGACGTCAAGAAGGCGAAGATCGATCTTGTTGCGAGGTGGCTTTCTTCTGCTATGAAGCATCGGTATCAAGATCAAGACCCCAGCAACCGTGGCCCTCGAATTGGCATAATGGAACCTGGGTTGCTTGCAGATACCAAGATCGTGCTAGCATCTCCGTCAAAGTCGCCCGTTCTTCATGATGTTGCCTCTGGATACCTGCAAAAATGGCAGGGCCAGGCGAGCAGGAAGTCCAAAGCTGCGAAAACGAGACCAAGTGACAAGGAGATAGTGACTGAATCTGCCTCTGCCGCTCCTGTTATAGATGGCGTGGCTCTTACTCCTGCAACTACAAACATTGATCTCGGAAAACTGGACGATCTAGCCGATTGTCTCCTGCAGGGTGTGACATGGGTTGAGTGGCAGATGATGCGGGAGCGGATTGTAAGGGATGAGATGAAGGCATTGGAGTCGATACCTGAATAAGTGGGTTTGGATAGCATGGAAAGGCGTGTATGTATGTTTATGCATGTCATAGTTCACTGATATGACTCAAGGAAATAAGAAGTAATATTGTACTATTATCACAACGGTCTACCGCAAATACTGTATGCACTGCACATATTGTACCATGCTCAAATCGGTAGCCTGATAAGTTTCTACTGTACTGTATTCTTCAATGCGTATTTGGAAAATTTCAAGTTTTCTTGTTAAAGAGGATAGAGCCTGGAGTCAATTCATGTTCAAACTGTACGGACACCACAATCTCTCGACCGGCCTTCCAGTACTGTAAAAATAACACATGAAGACAAAAAATAACAACGCACGCATAGGATCATTCCGGATGTAGATCAGTTCAAAATCAAAGATGCCTTTTCGAGAAAAAAACAAACACGAAGAAAACGCACAAGAGGGAAGCACTGGCGCTCCCCGAAGCTGAGGTCACTGGCCCGTGTCAAGATACGAGAAAAGAAATGGTCCGAGTCCAATGGGAATGGTCGTGAAATTGAGCTTCTCATTGGAGTAAAAATGGAGGCAAGGAAATGGCACGCTACTTGTAAGGAATGAGGACAGTCTTCCGGGATTGAAAATTGGCTTGCAGATAGTAACAGCAAGGGGAAGACTGAAACCCAGAAACAATGCATGACACAACCATTGCAAGAAAGTAAGATGTCGAAAAGAAGAAACATTGCAAAAGTGTACCGTAAATGAAAAGCAAAATCGAAACTTTGTACCGAAAACACTTGGCAAAAATAGGTACAATACCAGCGCGCCACTGCGCGATTAGAAGGAAATAGGAACTTTCTCTCAGATCATCCACGGGCTCGTAACACACAGCTCCATGGAAGGGCTGGGACACCCCTCACATCCGTGCGAGAAGTGCTTAGATGAAGTTGCGGCGCCAGTTGGCAAGGTAAGGCTTGCCGCTGGGGGTACCGCTAGGAGGGGCGGGGTGACCGCTGGCAGTGGGGAAAGGCTTAACGCTGGGGGTTCCAGAGGGAGTGCGAGTAGCGAACCCGCTGGAAGAAGGGGTGAGGGTGCGGGTGCGGCTGTAGGAGTGGGCACCGCTGCTGTAAGGGGCACTGCTGGTGGAAGCCGTAGTCTCGGGAATGGGGACTACAGCCTGAGTGTCCTGAGCACCCTCTCCGTTAGATCCGCTTTGCTGGTTGTTGTTGGCAGCAGGAGCAGTGGTCTCGGCGCCCTGCAATGGAGTCAGTAATGTTTCACATTCGGAGTAAACAAGACATACAGCAGTCACGGTCTCAGTAACGGTAGCGGTAACGGTAACGGGGTTGGGGTTGCAAGAGCCACCGTTGCCAGCACCAGCGGAGGCGGAGGCGGAAGGAACCTCGACGAGGGTGACAGTCTCGGTCTTGGTGGAGTGGAGGGTGTTGGTGTGAGTTTTGGTCGTGTCAGCCTGGTTATTTCCCTGGTGACCAGGCTTAGTGATCTCGGCACCAGCGCCGGATTCGGTCTATATCAGTTAGTCGGAGATCAATCATCGATGTTATCAGAATTCATACAGCAGTGACAGTGTGGTCCTGGGTGGCAGTCTTGTAGATGGTGGTGGTAACGAGACTGGTTGAATCACCAGAGCCCACGGTGTAGGTAACGGTGATAGCGCTGGCAGACTCGGAGCCAGACCCAGGAACGTTAGTGCCGGCAGGGGCCGAGGCAGAGCTGCTCAGGATGCCAGAAGCGGAGGACGAGCCAGAGGGACGACCAGTGGGGTAGCCAGTGGGGCGAGAGGTGAAGGGAGTACGGGTGGTGCGAGGCTTGCCAGTAGAAGCAGACGAGAAGTCCGAGGCAGAGGCACTAGCCGAAACGGAAGCCTCAGCAGAGCTGGAGGGAGCAACGGAAGCGGCCGAGGAAGCGATGCTGGAGACCGACGAAGCGGAAGAGGCCACGGAAGAAGCAACGCTGGAACTGGCAACGCTACTGGGAGCAATGGGAGCAACCGAGCTGGGAGTCTCGACGCTGGAGGGAGCAACAGATGGCACAACCGAAGGCTCAGCGGAGGGCTCAGCAGAGGGAGTAACTGGGGCCTCGGGAGCAGGCTGGGCAGGAGTCGGGTAAACTTGCACGGTGGAAGTGGACTCGGGTGCAGGTGCAGGGGCAATGCTGATGGAACGGGCCTGGTTCGCACGGCGAGCGTGAAGACCCTCATGGGTAGCATGGCCCATGGCAGCAAGAGCAGCCACGAGGGCGACAGAGACCTTCATAACCATTTTGAAGTAATGAGTGTGGTTAACGAGTGTGTAAAGGTGAGATAAAGAACCTTGAAAGGTAGGCGAAGAAGAGAGAAGCTGAAGGCAGAAAAAGACAGGAAAGATAGATGCACGAAATCAATTCGTGGAAGGAACGTATGCTTCTCTAGGAAGTAAAAGAATTGAAGGAATGCACTGCAAGCTTAAAGAGAGAAGAGAGAAGAAGAGAAGGAAGCCAAGGCGGGATAGCCTCATATTAATTCATTTCGCTAGATTAAAGTGATATAACTCCATGCATTACACTACAATACACTAAGTATACTGTACAGTATTCGGCGGATCTCCAACTGCCAACGTGGTCTCCACTGTCTCAGGCACAAGTGTTTCATTGGTCTACAGCAAGCGGAAATTGACCTTTAATCTCACGGAAAATATCCCTATGAACCGACTTCTTATTGAGGGCTTGGGGTGGCGTTCAACTGACGCCACATGGCATCAGTAACTCATCACCCCTTTTCTTAAAATGAGCTATATGATAGGGTAATGATTGGGCAAGGCTATATGCGAGTGACCAAAGGGGGCGCGCACGAGCGGTTAATTTAAGGTGAGACGACACATTGAAGTGGCACTGGCAACCGTCTCGAACCGAATGCGCTGAGCAGAATTCGCACAGAATATACAAGTACAGTATCCATATATCCCGAGTTGTATGCCCTGGTGGGAAAATCCTTCCCCGTTTAGGCGGCAATCGGATCGTTTCAGCCGTTACAAAACCATACCATACCCGATGGTTTCACATTGAATGCCATCTCAAGGGTCCGCTTCTCTATAAAATTTGAAATGACGATGATGGAATCTGGTCTAGCCCCTCGGGCTGGATATGAAGGTCCTGTGCACCTGTCAATGCCGTGTGGGGGCTATCCGAGTAGAGACGGCAGACTTCGGTCTATCATGTTTCATTTCCGGAGGCCGAGTTGCGCCATTTGTGTTTGTAGTATGTCGGGCTTGTTTTCCCCTTCCCTGAATTCAGGCCTGGAATTGTCTCATTGTACTCCATACTCCGTATGGGGAGGAGTAGACGGAGAAGCTTTCGACATGAAACATCTGACTCGGATTTTTAGACCCCCTGCCCCTCTCTCGCTCACCAGCCTCACCACGTTGATTGGCCTTTTACTGGGGTTTGCAAACTTGGAACTCGGCAATTGTGAATCTTAGTGTGTCTGATCTAGTGTTTAGTCCCTTGAAGGTTCGTCTCGAGTTGAAGCCCTGAGATATCCAGATGTGTAGAAGTGTAGAAGCCAAGGCGGTGACGCACGATCTTATTATCATAGGGCTACAAGTATACAACCTCCAAAGATCAAAGATCAAAGAATGTCGTACCAAACCCTCCGCACCCAATACGCAACCCTCCTAAAACAATTCCTAAAATCCACCAAAGAATTCGACGTCCTAACAACCATCCCCCCAGACCACTCCGCATCAGAGACCCTCTATGTCTTAGATTCGAGCTTCAATCCCCCCACCCTCGCCCACCTCCGCATAGCCAGCACCGCCCTACAAGCAAACCCCAAGCCCCGTCCCCGTCTACTCCTCCTCCTGGCAACGCAAAATGCAGATAAACCCTCCAAACCAGCCTCCTTCGAGGACCGGCTGGCAATGATGGAGCTATTCGCCCGCGATCTGCGGGCACACCTTGCGAGAACACCCGCCTTCGCGGACACCGCCGCCTCCTCGGAGTTCGAGCTGCCGGTCGAGTCTCTGCCCTTGATTGATATTGGCGTGACTAAGAAACCGTATTTCGTGGATAAGGCGGCGGCTATTGAGGGCTCGGATCGGTATCCTGTTGCGTTGGAGCAGGTTCATCTTACAGGGTTTGATACGCTGGTGCGTATCTTTGATGTTAAGTATTATCCGCCGCATCATACGCTCGGTCCGCTTGTGCCGTTTTTGGAGAAGCATCGGTTGAGGGTTACTATGCGGCCTGGGGATGCGTGGGGTGAGAGGGAGGAGCAGCTTGCTTTTTTGGATGCTCTTACTCGAGGGGATCGGGATGCTGAAGGCGGGCGGAGGGAATGGGCGCAGCGCATTCAGTTGGTGGAGGGGAGAAAACCAACAGAGCCGCTTGTCAGTTCTACTCGAGCTCGCGAAGCTCTGCACTCTGCTCCGCGGGACTTGGACTGGCTGGTACCAGATCTGGTCAGGCAGTATATCCTCTCTGAAGATGCCTATCCCAGAAGTGAAGGTGGGACTGCCAAAGTGTAGATAGGCATTCATATCTGTCAGGTATTAGAATAGTCTGCATCCTCGTATAATGATACAATATGATTGAATAAATGCATCCCATACGCCAAATCCCAAGTGTTGTCGAAACGCGCACCTGTTAAACCCAACCACTTTTGCTCCGATCACATATCATACATCACAGTAAAAGTAAAGGTCAAGCTCACCGGTCAACCGGCAGAACTTCTCTTCCTCTTCACAATCCTCAACATCCAATATCCATCACTGATCCTCCTCTTCCTCCCTCTTGCCAAGGGTATATGCCAGTCCACCACCGATCAAGTTAACCAAACACAGTCCCATCGTTGCACCCCGCACCACACCGCGCACACCGAACTTCTTCATGAATGGCTGACGACGCCGTGCTGCTAGGAGCAGGTACAGGCCTGAGAATGCGGCGCTCATACCGGCTGTGTCGGTCTTGAAGCCCTGCAGGTTGGCATAACTGGTGAAGAGCAGTGCTGGTGGGAAGAGCATGGGGAAGAATTGGAATGGCTTCATGTGCTGTGCTGCGATCAGCGATGCGAGGAGGGATGGTGGGAACGAGTTTTCTGTTTGATATACTGTGTCAATGCTGTTTTGTTGTTTGCACTGCTCGCCATGGTTGGATCTATGAGGTGGGATGTCGATTGGTACTTACCACCCCAGGCGCGGAAGCGCTGGACCAGCGTTTGCTTGGTTTCTTCAATAGTGTCGTCGTCGGCCATTGTGAGTGATTGTGGTGTTCTCGGAGGTGGTGGTTTTGGTGAGGTTCAAGAACGGTCTATGACGATTGAAGGACTAAGACGGTTGGAGCTTTGACAGCCAAGATTTGCCGCTGCAGGTTGGATAATAAGACGTGCACTAATTCCCGGGTTGGAATGAGAACTGGCGTTACTCACAAGAACTGCACAGAGCGGAGCCCGGGCAAGTTATGTAACTATCGCAATCCTACAGACGTTCCGACGCTTGGCAAAGACACCTAACACACCCCAAATCAGCCAACCTCCCACTCCACCCGGGATTTATCTCGGACCATATCAACTCCCTGTTTTATTCACGCTGCTTAGTCTAACTCTGACTCGCGCGTGATTGGCTTTCGTTTCTCCGTCCTACGCCACCCAACACCACGAGACCAGCAGTCCCCTCAACACAAAACAAACCAACCTCGAAACCGAGATCTCCGACCGAGAAAACACGGTCGCTATGCCCTCCGCAACGGCGTCAGGCTCCGATGCCAAGGGCGGCGCGAGCTCTCGCGACCACAACCAGGGCAATCAGAATCGCAATTATACCCCAGAGCAAAAGGCGGCGGTATTGCGGATCCGCAAATGTCAAGCGACAGCATTCTATGAGATCTTGTCGGTCGAGCGGTCGTCTACGGATAATGAGATTAAGAAGGCCTATCGCAAACAGAGTTTATTGACGCATCCTGATAAGAATGGTTATGATGGCGCCGACGAGGCGTTCAAGAGTGAGTGATGAGTGGACCCCGAGCCTGGTGTTGATTTCTATGAGAGCCGCCACTAATGCGCTATTGCAGTGGTATCCCGCGCTTTCCAGGTCCTTTCTGATGAGGACAAGAAATCTCGCTATGACAAGTTCGGCGGCGACCCTGATAGCAGATTCCAGCCTGGACCTAGTGCGTCAAGCGGTGGCTCTCCGTTCAGCGGATTTGGAGGTGGCGGTGGATTCCCGCGCGGAGGTGGAGGACCTGGCTTCGACGACGAGATTTCACCAGAGGAACTATTCAACAGATTCTTCAATGGAGGATTCGGTGGCATGGGCGGTGGGTTCGGTACGTCAAAAGAAAAAGCGCGATTATAGCGAAAAACTCAGAACTCAAACTAATCACCACATTCTCACCTTCTAGGCGGACCCCAATTCGTGTTCAATATGGGCGGAGGCCCAGGATTCCGCGTCCACCAGTTCGGCGGCGGCGCACCACGCCGCAGACCTCGCACAGCAACAACAGCAGAGCAGGAAGCCCAGATAGACGGACGCAGTTTCCTGCGCCAACTCCTCCCGCTCATCATCCTATTCATTCTCCCGCTCCTCTCGTCTCTCTTCTCCGGGTCCTCCACTCCATCCGGGCCCTCGTACCGATTCGACACCCCTGTTTCTCCGCATACCCTCGGCCGCACAACCCCCAAACTCAACCTCAATTACTTTGTCAACCCGCTCGACGTGGATAACTTTAGTGCGCGGAACTTCCGGGAATTGGACTCGCGTGTTGAGGTGGATTACGTTCGGACGCTGCGCAATGAATGTGATGCTGAGGCCAATGAGCGGGATCGCAGGTTGCAGGATGCGCAGGGTTGGATTTTCCCGGATGTCGAGAAGATGAAGGCTGCTAGGGCTATGGAGATGCCTAGTTGTAAGCGGTTGGAGAAGTTGAGAGGGAAAATTAGACTTTGATGTCTTCAATGCATGATGTCTTTTGATGTTGTCTGGTCTGGTTGTCTCGTCTGCTGACTACATAAGTTTTAGACTGCTCGGCTTGTTTATGGCATTTTCCTTTCTCTTTTTCTCTTTCTCTTCGGTCCTCCTTGGGGTCTCCCGTGATCGGCCTTTAATATTATTAGCATACACCGCAGCAGGCGGCGTCTGTTGGAGTTGATCTTCTTTCGCTTTCCTTGTACATTGTTGGGGAGCTTGAATGCATTTTATTCTTGTCCTTTGTGCTTATCCTGATCCAGTTGGCTTTTGTTCTTTAACGTGCTAGAGTCAGTTTTAGGCTATAGGTATGTATCATGCATGTGTATAAGATGACAGACTCGAAGTTATATGATCTATGTTTATTTGTTGACCGTACATAATATATAGACTGCTTTACCTGGAGTATCTCTACCGAGCTCTTTCTTGTCCAATTAACCGCATTTACATGGCTGAGAATCAGCCCAATGAGCCTCCATCCATGCATAAGTAGATATGACATGTTCCTTCTTACCAACCCTGTCATCCTGAACAAACATCTCAAGCGCCTAATCTACAATGCTAACCGCATCCCTCACAAGCGGGACCCTTTCATCCAAAATGCCAGACTTCCCATTACTCGAAGGGACCAGTTTAGCTCCAGAAGACGCCCTAACCGATGACGACGACATCCTCCACCGCTTAGTTATCCACAGAAAAAGGAAACGTTCTGATACCTAAAACTCTAAGATCCAATCCGTGAGTTTATTCCATCTTTGCGGCGGGCTTTGCCAAGTTGCCGAGGACGATGAGTGGTTGTCTGGCACACGACATATAACCGCGTGAAACCATACGGATATTAAACTTAGGTGTATCTCAACACTTTTAGGGTTGTTGTTAATAAGGTTATAGATGTCTTTGACGAAGAGGAGAAGGAATAGCAATAGGCAAATAGGAATGGTCTGGTTTCTAGGGTTTCTAGGGTTTCTTAGGCCGGGGTTATGAGGGCTACCTGTGTTCACAATCTACATCATTAACACAATTTTTGAACCACTAAGTCGAGGAACTCGAATATGGTCAAAAAGAGGCGAAAGGGCAAGGCCAAAGTAGGGTGAAAACAATAAAAGAAACGGTACACTCGCTTTGAGGCTTTCTGTAGAGACTGTCCAAGACTTCATCAGTCGTACTATATAAGTTACACATGTAAGACTACTTGTAAGTTAGTATGATTCTTCCAAAGAGCTAGTGTGAATTGGATATTAAAATTATGATTGAGCTGCTGTGAATATAGTCCATGATCAGACAAAATTTCTTGATAGGTTACGATAGTCTTTACTATGAACATCAGAGATTAAGGAAAGGAATACAGCCCTGGAGGCCCGAAAGTGTCAATTTTAGTGTCCGTTCTGAGAAGGTTCTTTTGTGCCTCGGTTTACCAAGAAGAGGACTATGAATGTGGCTGCGTTGCGACAATAGTTCCTTATGAAGAGCACAGACTGCTCTGTATGATTATTACAATATACAAGCTGTTAGTTGTTGGATGTTCTTGGTTGCATGCCTGCATGCCGATACACGCTAACCATAAAATCGACTTTGAAGATACAACGCTCGTCGTTGCCTGCACCGCGAAATCACAAGTACTATTGATGTACCTTCTGCTTAGTCAAAGTCATCATAACCGAAATTCGAACGTTGGAGACGAACCTCAGCGATCACCACAGAATCACCAAACGCGCTTCCCCCGCGGATCTCAACACCGGAGTTGTCGAGTCGCCACTCTACTTTCACGATTTTACGATCCCCACCGTTGCGATTCTAACCACCAGCCCTTCCGAGGTCGACTTCCAGAAAATGTCGGATTCCCTCTCCGACGCGGACAAGGTGAGCTAACGATTTCATCCTGTACAAACCAATGAAGTCTCCGGAGTGTGTTGAATTAACATCCCCTCAGATCCGCAACAAGCGCCTCGCAAAGTTGTCCAACCAAAACCCGTCCCCATCGCAAGACAATATCTCCGATTCAGCGCAGTCATCGGCTCATACCTCCCCGTCACAATCGCCCTTGTCTGCCCACCCGCCAAGTGGTTTCTACAGCGAGTCTCCGTCGTCCCTGCACACCGCGCAACAGTCGGAGGGGAAACGTATCAAGATCACACCAGTTGCTCAGACCCCAGAGCGAACACGATCCAACCCGCCTTCAGCCCCCGGCACTCCCCCACCACAGAAAATCGAGAGTATCGAAACTTTCGAAGACCGCACATTAAGCGCCGTGTTCAAGGTGACCCTCAAGGATGACGGGCGCCAGGATATTCACGGCAAGCGCACCTTCTTGCCTGGACTACGCAGCGAGTTAGAAGCAGAGGGCCAGGATCTGCGTATTCAAGTCTCCGTCTTGGATCAGGCTCTTCTGGAAGCTGCGTCGAGCGCTGAAAGGAACCGTCCTTTGGATTATTTGCTGCCATGCTGGAAACGTATCACACGGCTTTCAAATGGTTTCCGGCGGGCTGGAGATGATGACCCGAAGTACCAGATTCTTTGCGAGGCGCGCCGGCTATGCATGAGCTATTGTATTTTCGCGATTACCATGCCGGAGATGTTCGGGTACGTTTCACTTGAATGTGGAAGCTTCCACTGGATGTACTGACTGGTTTATAGAAGCGATGGCTCTGGGCAATCATTGGCCTCATACCTACTCCTGGACCCCGAAGAGGACCGTGGTATTGACTTCAATTTTATGAACGAAGCCGTTAAGAGGTTTGATGAAGATGAGAGTATCAAGCCTGCATTTATTACTGCTGTCGAGCAGCTGAGTGCGCAGCTTTCATCTATGGATGTTAATGAAGACTACAAGCCCTATACCGTTGCCCTTCGCAATCTTGTCCGCCACGGTACCATCGCGGCTGCAATTACAGAATCATCGATTTTCAACGCCTCAAAAGACCCGGCCCAGTTCGAGAAGGTCACTCTTCTAGGCCCTTGGTTCAGCCTGTCGCCCCTTCAGGGCAACGTCACCTTGTCTTATTTCTCCAGCCCCAAGACCCGCGATGCAGCATACATCGCGAACGCGCAACGGTCACTTCGGATGACACAGCAACTGCTGAGCTCCGACCTTCTTGACGTGATTAACCACCTGATTCGGGCTTCGAAGGAGGCTCGGGATCGCGTTTTGGATTGGTTTGCTACTGCTCTTAACATCAACCACAAACGGCGCGCAATGCAGGTGGACCCGGAACAAGTGTCCTCGGATGGATTCATGTTCAACCTCACAACTTGTCTAGACCAGCTCTGTGAGCCTTTCATGGATGCGTCGTTCACCAAGATCGACAGAATTGACTCGGATTACCTCCATCGAAACTCTCGGGTTGACATGCGTGACGAGACTAAGATCAATGCCGATCAGCATGCATCCGATGCATTTTATTCCAAGAAGGCTGACGGGACTTCAAACTTCATCACCGAAATCTTCTTCTTGACTGTTGCTGCTCATCACTACGGCAGCGAGTCGTTGACCTCGAAGATGGAACAACTTGAAAAGGATCTACGACAGATGGAAAACATGATAACTAAGTTTGAACTTGAGCGCCACAAGTGGATCAACAACCCGGCACAGCTTACCACTTTCGACAATGCCCTCAAGAAGTACAAAGACAAGTTCGATTTGGGGCTGGCTTTGAAGTACAGCCTTCAGGGTGTGCTGTTCGATGATCATTGGCAGAGCCGCTCCATGCTTTTCATGCGATATGTCACCGTATGGCTTTTGAGACTCGTATCGGGCGAGGACTTCCCCAAGAAACAGTTCTCGCTCCCACTCCCAGAGACACAGCCAGAGGTATTCAAGTGCCTACCAGAGTATTTCGTGGAAGACATTGTCAGCAACTTCAAATTCATCATGTGGTGCATGCCACAAATCATCACAGCCACCCAAGGCGATGAGCTGGTAATGCTGTGCATCACATTCCTGGAGAGCTCCGCCTACATCAAGAACCCTTACCTCAAAGCCGGACTTGTCTCGATTCTGTTCCGAGGCACTTGGAAACGCCCTGGTGGCGCCAGTGGCGTTTTGGTTGACCTGCTAAACTCGCTTCCATTTGCCAACGATTATCTCCTCCATGCAGTTATGAAATTCTACATTGAGGCAGAGTTCACGGGAGCGCATACACAGTTCTACGACAAGTTCAACATCCGATACGAGATCTTCCAGATCATCAAGTGCATCTGGCCCAACACACTCTACAGAGAGAAGTTGTCCAATCAAGCCAACCAGAACCTGGACTTCTTCGTCAGGTTCGTCAACCTTTTACTGAACGATGTGACCTATGTTCTTGATGAATCATTTGGTGCCTTCAAGACCATTACTAGCACCCAGTACGAGCTCAATACCGCTGGTGCCTCGATGGATGCTGCCACCCGCCAGCAGCGAGAAGAGCATCTGTCACAATCCCAGCGCAGTGCCAAGAACTACATGCAGCTCACCAACGAAACCGTTGCTATGCTGAAGCTATTCACCGAGGCGCTGGCAGATTCATTCACAATGCCCGAAATCGTGCAGCGCTTGGCAGACATGCTGGATTACAACCTTGATGCCATGGTGGGTCCCAAGAGCGCCACTCTTCGCGTGGACAACTTGCAAGAATATGGCTTCAACCCGCGTGCCCTTCTGAGCGAGATCGTCGACGTCTATTTGAACCTGATGGGTAAAGAGAACTTCATCCTGGCCGTTGCTCGCGATGGCCGATCCTACAAGCCCGCCAACTTTGAGAAGGCGGCTGATATCATTCGCAAATGGTCTTTGAAGTCTCCCGAGGAGCTTCGTCGCTGGGGCCAAATGCAGAAGAAGGTACAGGCAGCTAGGTTGGCTGATGAGCAAGCAGAGGAGGATCTTGGAGAGATCCCTGATGAATTCCTTGGTATGGTTCCCTGCTATGGCCTTATTTTCAAGAAATTGCTAACATTTTTTAGATCCCCTTATGTACACTCTCATGGACGACCCTGTCATTCTCCCTGGCTCACGGGTCTCCATCGATCGAGCTACTATCCGCTCGCATCTGCTCAGTGATCCACATGATCCCTTCAACCGTGTCCCCCTGAAGATGGAAGATGTGGTGCCTGGTAAGAATCATACTTCTATAATGTTCGTTGTCAAGTCTAACAATGTTTCTCGCAGATACCGACTTGAAGGCCAAGATCGAAGCATTCAAATCGGAGAAATTGGCTGGCAAACGGAAGGAGATGGTGCCTCGTGAACATATGGACACATCTACGGGTTAATGCGGTGTATGGGTGTGCCCTTTGCATTGCTTCATTCATGGCTATTTTTGCCGCATTTCTATTAGCGCCCCTAGCATAGAATGCTGAAACATTGACGATAGAACGAGAGCTCTCTACTTACCTTGTGCCTCTAGGGCCATGACGCCAATCAATCGTTCACTATGGTCAAACAATTCACCATATTTTAACGTTCTTTGTAGCCAAGCAGAATAGTCAGAAGGTCAATAGAGAGCATTTTTATGCATATATGGCTTTTCTGCCTTTGTTCGACTTGGATCGTCGATCCATCTTCTCGAGCTCTCGGGGTTTGTACTCCCAAATTGACCGCTGTCTCAGCCAGGTAGATCTCTTGAGGGTGTTAATTTGACCGGCTGCTGCCATTCTTTGCGGGGGATTATTAAACCGCGTAGGGCGGACTAAAAGATGTGAGGAAGATGAAGCTGTCAATATACCCCGATATCCCTTGTCGGCCTGACCGCCTTTCGGCGCATTACATCACCAGCTCTTTTTGTTTATTTCAACTTCAACTTTCATACAAATTTCAATGGGTGCGACAATTTCCGCCTGCTGGGCAGCTCTGCCTCCCAGCGCAGAACTCTATCCTCCAACACCAGCGGTGTACACAAGTATCCTCAACATCTTCCAATACTTCCCCCTGGTGAGGACCCCTATACCCCCGAAGATGGTTCCACGAGCTAATACCATGGTTTTAGGTGACTGTATTCCAATGGATTCTCTCCTGGCATCCAGCGGGCAAGACGTCCAACAATTCAATTTTCAATATCCCAGGGCGTGTAGCCTGGTGCGCCATGGAGATCATCGGGCCTATAAACCTGATCTACAATCTGATACTCCCATCACCCTCCTCACCCTCAATTGGTGATCTACCCTGGCCTAATGTCCTTGTGGCAGGACTATATTGTACCCACTACTTCAACCGCTCAATTATATCCCCCTTCTTCTCTGCCCCAAGCATGTCCCCAATCCACCCGTTCGTCATGACCTCCGCTATGGCTTTCAACTGGTTCAACTCAAGCTGTCTAGCCGGGTGGTTACGCGGATACACAATCCTAACCACTCCAAACTTCAGCGCGGACGGAAGAAACGGCCAATCCCGCCCTGCCATTGTGAACTATATCCCCACAGTGGGCGTGATCCTGTTCGCCATCGGGATGGCAGGAAATATTTATTCCGAGACAGCGCTTTTCCGCTTCCGCCGCGAAGAAACAGAGAAACGTCTCGCAAAGAAGTCGGATGACGCCAAGACTGGCACTAATGCAGGGGAAAATGACGGTGGAAGCAGCCGCAACAAATTCCATAAAGTCTACGTCATCCCGCCTTGCCGCGGTGTCTTCCGGTATATCTTGTACCCGCACTATGCATTCGAGTGGCTTGAATGGGTCGGTTTTGCTTTAGCTGGTACAGCAGTTCTTAGTTTGTCGACTGTTCCTGCTCATGCACCTTCGGCTGCGGTTGCTCCGCCGCTTCGTCTTGCGCCTTGGTTGATTCCTGCTGCTTGGGCGGCTGATAAGCTTTCCCTGCCATTACCTCTGCCTGCTATTGTGTTTGTTGTTAATGCTGTTACGAATATGCTTCCTCATGCGCGCTGGGGAAGGAAATGGTATGTTGAGAAGTTTGGGGAGAAGGGTGTTGCTGGGAGAGGTGCGGCTGTGCCTAATTGCGCGTGCATGTGAGGTTGAAGGATGTCTGTCTTTTTTGTTGTCCTTGATAATTTATAATCTCGGGATTGTGTTTGTTTCGATGCAAGTACCATGAGATTTTCTGGCCGCCGTATAACAAGCTCGTCGAGCTAAGTGTTAAGCGTTGCTAAATGGCCATAGTAAAAAAGTGCTGTCGGCACTTCCTGATATTGAGATTTTGATGCAGCGCTATAGCCCCTTGATTCTTGATTTCGCTTCCTTTACATAGCGCTGCCAATCAATGCGTTGCAAAAAAAAGGCCCTCAATTGCAACCTCGAAGCAAAAGCCTATAAACGCCCCGGTTCAGAGACCCTAGACATGCCATGTGTGACTCACGGGTCGGTTTTGTCTGGATTAGATCGTTTACGATTAGTGATTGATAACGAGTGGTGAGTAATTTTATATGTGGCTCACGGATTTGTTCTTCCTAATATCAATATAAGCTTCCCGCTGCTGCCTATTCTAGCAGCACCCTGGTCTCTCTTCCCATCCTTGGCCAACCTACCTATTCCAACATCTTCTGCTGTGTATGTGAGCGCTACACTCTTCTTCTGTTTCATACTCGAGATTCTCTTGGCAAGACAGCATGGCTAGCGAAATACTCGTCTCGATGAGTGATGCAAGGGTCATCTTGTGCCGCCACCTTGGTCCCATTGCCACAGACACGGCCGCGATGCCACTGGACCAGATCCAGGAACCGCTCTCATCAAATATCTTCGTTTTCCAGGAACCAACCGTTCTGGGGCACTTCTTCAAGGAAACCACATCACCCGTTCTGAATATATCCAACAGAATGCGAACACTGCGTCTCGATATCTTGCATACTGTCTCAACCGCCCAACTGACTCCCCTGGAAAAGAATGGTGGCATCGATGGGCCGAATCTGTCAGTTTTGGTCGAAGGCTGGAGAACTGCTTGTCGAAGTATTCCCAGAGATCATCATATCAAAGAAATAGTCTTTGACATGTCTTGTGGGCAACCACTGGAGATTAGACACATAATCAGGCTATTGCAACAAATCAGCACTACCACTTGTCTAAAGGCGAGTGGGACATTCCATTGCTATGTTCAAGGCTGTGACCCTGAGAAGAAAGCATGGCTAGAGGCAAGCCTTGTCAGTACTTCAACTTCCTGAGGCGAATGATTACAAGATCGAGATCGCTTCCCCTACAAATACAGAATGTTTGTGAGGAATATGGAAGGGCGGGCTCGCGGAGGGTTTCACGTGAGATACGCCCTAGAGAAGCCAAATTTATGAGGATACCTATATGTATTAAGTAATGTATGTTTAACGCAAAATTTGCATGAATGGGTGCTCGGAGACTTTTGTTCGAGAGGACTCATTGACTCAGACATAACTCCAACAAAGTGATTCAAACCCGATCATCAGCCTCAACCCGGAATCCCTTAAGTGATTTCATTCTCCCTAACCTCGTTGGACTCGGAGCCGGCGGCAGTGTCGGCGAATTTTTCTGCGAATGCGAAACCATAACCTCAGTCGTGCAAACGATCCCATCTCCCAAAATCCGCTCCTTGCTAGAATTGCTCCCTTCGCGGGTCAATGAAGTATTACCAGAGGGAATATTCGATGTAGGAATTTTGATATCGTCATCATGTTCGATGACACTGAGATTGCCGGTGAGGTGGCCATGGGAGTGTAATTGTTCGCCGCGGGATCTCGACATCGATCGTAACTTGTACTGCTTGCTGCCGTGGTATTCGCGTGTTGTTTTTGATCGGGAACCGTATGTGCCGAGGACCCGTTTGAAGAGCGGTTTTAGAGTTGGGAGACTGCCTGCCATTATGCCAGTATTGCATTCAGTACTGAACTTCGTTAGTATTAGATGATAGGAGTAGGAGGTATGTGGATCACGTACACGACCCAGATTGTGAGGTTCGTATAATCCCAGAGGAAATCCCCGTTACGGCCGTAGTTGGGTAAGATGGAGATCTTGACGAAGGCGGCAGCGCAGGCACTGGGTATTAAAGTATTAATAGCTATGCCTGGTAGACTTGGTGGACTGGAATGAGCCGGACTCACAAAATTCCCAAACCTAAAATACAAACCAGAGAAGCCTTGACTCGGCGGTTGACTTGAAGATGACGCAGCATAAATATTGGCAAAAAGGCGAAGATCAAATCAGTTAGGATGTTTAACGCTACCAATGTTAGCAAATGTAACCGGTCTGCCAGATGCCGTCTCACCAGTGTTGGTATAGCTCAGTATCAGAAGTTGTCTAGAAGAGAAGCACTCCGAGACCACATTTTTGTCCCAATTTGTCCGGATGTCCTTGCATTCAAACATGAGGGTCTATAGAGCCAAACGTTAGATTCGGTCTTGCTAGGATGTATACAGCTGGACCGATGAAGCACTTCGACTGCTGTCATATGCTGCCAGCGGTAATGCTTCACTTCTTCTTGAGATCGAACTGGGCAAAATCAAAGCAACAACAGGATGTATCCGAGGTCGGTGGACTCGGCGTAAGGGCGGCCCAAACACTTCATCGGTAAGGCTGTGAGAGGGGTGACTGACCAAGAAGCAAATCGCGGTATATAGCGTCATGAGGACTGTAAAACAAACCGCTTTGTTAGTATGCAAGAATCGAAGAGAACGATGATGGGAATGTACTCAGCCATACCGATAACCACCCATATAAAGATCTTGTATCCTTTCTGGGGCGCGAAACGAAGCAGAAACAATCCAATTGATACCTTAACCAAGCCAATGGCCCAGAGGTAAATGGCCTGTGTCGCAAAATTTAAATGCATTGCTTTGGATGCGGTATGTTCCACATAAACCGTATGTCTACCTGCACCGTACTGTACCTCTGGGACAATGATCGCAAATCCGCACAAGGACAGGAGCATAGTCAAGGCCATCGTATAGTCGTCCCATCCGACATTGCGAATAATGAAAATGCGCACGTAGAACCGCGCCAGCACGAGTATTAATGCCACGAATGTTGTAATGCCCGTCGCTAGGAGAATGCGCCATCCTTGATTGACATCCGGTAGGCCAGCGCCTCCCAAATATGAGGTATCCGACATGGCTGTCGCAGAGGTGTTATCGAGGGGACATGGGAATAATGGGGAGACTATGTCGACCAGGGTAGATTCGAAGGATTCTCGGCTTTCCAGTGAAACGCCTTCGCTTCAAGGTTCGCGTGGCTTCGTGGCAGGCAAATAGTGACTTCGGGTTTGTCCGCCATTCCGTTTCTTTCCCCTTCATATTCATTCGTTTCAGCACATACGTTTTCCTACCGAGGCAATATAAATGAGTTATTCCGAGACAATCTTCTTTCGGGCATTGCTCCAAAGCCACAGGGGAAATGGACCACAACTTCTTCTTGCCGAACTTGAAGAGCCGCCAGTCTGGGTAGGAGGCCTCACCCCTGTCCCCTCGGCGCTCTAGAAATTTCTCTGCCACAACATCCATGTGCTTTGTACAGCAGTGGACTTGGCAGCAGAAACAAGACCAATAAGGTGTCTCAGATCCATCGGCACTAGGCACACTGGGAGACACTTGGGCCTCGGATCTCAATGCTGCGGCACTTCTACCGTGTAGTTCATCTATTTTCTGTTCCACTAGGGCACCGGAAGGAGTTTCCAGATTGCATCTTGCCTCCCATCGAATCATTCTTCCACTTTAAGACCCTTGGTTTGCCAAGGCCGCTAAGCACAAGGGGGCACGAGGTGGCGGTGAGATTCTCCGCAGCGTGCATGGGTGCTTCAGATGCGATACATATTTTTTTTTTTTTTTGAGGCAATCGATTGCGATGGATCCCTAGGGCTCAGAGGGCCGATCCGAATGCGGTCCGCGGGAGACAACAGATCGACACAGTTCCTCGCTGTGGACTCGCGCCTTGGGCAAGTCTGGCCCGCTTGACACCGTGTTCGGTGGAGCATCAGCCGAGCGGGACGTTCTCCGAAGCCCTGAGTGGCCCCAAGTAACCCTGAGTGGCCCTAACTGGCCGTTAGCTCAGGAGAATCTCGCGTCCAGAGCTCGTCCGGGAAATGGCACGACTTCATAGCCACGCATTAGTCTAAACCCCAAAATAGGGGGATTGACAGCACTTAAAATGGTCAATCATGCCCGAATTCATCCTCGATCGGTCAACGAATTTTCATCTCTTGGCGCGAGGAACGTGCAGAGTTTCATCTTCACCTCACAATGGTTGCATTCTCCGCTCTTGCTCTGGGAGCCTTGTTCTCCCAGGCGTGGGCTATGCCCGCTGTCTCGAGCCCGGTTGTGAGCTCTGCTCCAGCCGCCCCCACGGCTGCTTCCGCCTCCCTGCCCGTCGCAGCTGCCCAGCTCGACCAGTTGGCGGAGTTTGCGTTCAATACCTCGAGCGCTAGTGTCTCCAGTGATTCGGAGAACGAGAAGCGCGGAGGCTGTTCGGTCTGGAACCTACGCGTTCGTCGCGATTGGAGGACCTTTTCGACAGAACAGAAGAAGTCTTACATCAACTCTGTGCTCTGTCTCACAAAGTTGCCCGCGCGTACGCCCTCCAACGTGGCCGCTGGTGCTAAGTCTCGTTACGATGACTTCGTCGCTACGCACATCAACCAGACTTTGGGGATTCACTATACCGGCAACTTTTTGGCATGGCACCGCTACTTCATCTGGAACTTCGAGGAGGCCCTCCGTAACGAGTGTAGCTACACCGGTGATTACCCGTAAGTTCACTCTGTCTTCAATCATAGTCCCATAGCGACAATTGCTAATACACACTAAGTTACTGGAACTGGGCCGCCGATGCTCACGACTTGGAGAACTCGCAAGTCTTCGACGGCAGCGACACCTCAATGTCCGGCAATGGCGAATATGTCGCCCCGGCCGGTGATATTCAACTCGCTCTCGGCGCTTACCCGACTATCCACCTCCCCACCGGAACGGGCGGTGGCTGTGTCACCAGCGGCCCCTTCAAGGACTTCAAGGTCAACATGGGCCCGGCCGCATTGGTCCTCCCCGGTGGAAACGTCAGCGTCGCGGCGAACCCACTGGACTACAACCCACGTTGTCTTAACCGTGATCTGACGACCGCCATCGTCCAGAGGTATGCCAACTACACCTCGGTCGTGGATCTCATCCTCCGCCACGACTCCGTCTGGGACTTCGAGATGAACATGCAGGGTGTCCCTGGCAGCGGGTCTATCGGTGTTCACGGCGGTGGTCACTACGCTATGGGTGGTGATCCTGCTCGCGATGTCTATGTCAGCCCCGGTGACCCGGCCTTCTGGCTCCACCACGGTATGATTGATCGTACCTGGTGGATTTGGCAGAACATGGATCGCAAGAACCGCCTGAATGCCATTTCTGGCACTGCTACATTCTTGAACACGCCTGCCTCGGCAAACACTACCTTGGACACTCTTGTTGATATCGGTCTTGCTGGTGAAGGCCCTATTGCCATGCGCGATATTATGAGTACCACTTCCGGTCCTTTCTGCTACGTTTACCTTTGAAGGGTGACGGTCAGCTAAAACTTGCATTCAATGTACATCTATAATGTTTATATTTATGGGGTTTCCGTCCTCGAACTTCACTATTATAGAAGCAACCTTGCTATTATGTAATGGATGATAGACCAGATAACTTATAACCAAATTTAGAGACACAAAACTCCTATCATAGCCTTCCGGTCATCCGGTTCCAATATATAGTACAATCCTGGTCATTAAAGTAGTTTCAGCAAAGCAAGCTTAGTATTTCAATGCACAAAATTTGCACAAATCAACAAAGGGATGCCGCATTGAAATATCATGCTCTGATTGCAAGTGGATCAAGGGGCTTATTTACCTGAAACACACTAATGCATAGATTGAATTCTTTCGATGGCAGCTATTCCCATGTTAATATCGGGTTAACTACTGCCCCTACCTTCAGTTGCGACAGTGCTTTCTGGTATTGTGGTACCTAAATAATGTGACCCGCCGGATCAGATACTCTAAAAAAGCAAGAAACAAAGCCAGAACAAAGTCAAATACAGAGGAAAGGAGTCACATACCTTGAAATACTGAACCAACTGGTCAGTTGGAAATCGGCCTTCTCTATCCCATTCGATCATCTGTGGAATGAACTGTTGTTATAGTCAGTAAGAGAGTGCCTCTTCTTTGAAGTGATTGCGCAAAGAGCTAGGGAGAGTATCGAATCTCGGATGGAATGCAGTCTCCTTCAATACATTTTAAAATCGAACGACCTGCTTAAAATGCCAAATAGAAATGTTCAACTGGTGAGACCTTCATGGCATGCTAAGGCTGCGCAACTACTGCTGGGACTTACACTAATGTGTTCTACAGCATCGATATCCAGCGCATAGCCCAGCGGCGGGACGCCGATTAGAACCAGCTTTCCTCGTTTCCGTGTGCATCGTAGTGAGTCCTCAATAAGAGCTGCTACACCTGCGGTATCAGTCACTACAGACACGCCATCCGGAACCAAGCCCAAAACCGCGTCTCTCAGTCTTGTATAGTCCGAGGCGCTTGTGTTGATAGTATAACAACCCCCGAGAGTTTTTGGCGTGTTGGAGCAGGGACTCGATTCGGTCTACTACAACTACGTTCTCACAGTTACGGATCTTGGCCGTCTGTGTATATTCAGGGTTAGCCGCGAAGTCTTGCAGCTAATAGAATGAAGAGCGGAACAAGGCCAGCTCACCATGAAAGCTCCCATTCCAACGGCACCCAAGCCCAGTATCATCTCAGTATCTTTGGACCCGCATCTGAAGCGCTGTAAGTTGCACCCATACCAGTTTGGAATCCGCAGGCCAGCGGCGCAAAGAGCTTCAATTCGTCTTGATCGTGAAGAAGTCCTCTGACGTTGCCGATACTTCTTCCGCTCACAACGCTATAGCGAGCAAAGCTGGACTGACCGAGAATCCCGAGGTTATCACATCCCCGGTTTTCTTGACACCGATAGAAGTCTGTCGGCCGATGTAATTTGAGTACGAAAGTATCACAGTAAGCAGCATGAGAATCATGACATTATTTGCATGAGGCACATGAGTGATAGGATAATAGCACGGAATCACCGATTAGGGCGGAGCTTGTATTGGGGCGTACAGAGCGCACAATACCAAACCCCGTTATATGCTAACTAATTGTAGCAGTGAAGTGTGCAAGATGTCGGGGGCTTCACTACCTTCATGTCCAACGACCTTCTGGTAGGTGGTCCCAAAGCTTCCCGTGGGCACTGAGGATAGTACAATATCCGTGTGGCAGATGCCAGTTGCACACATTTATACCAGGACCTCACCTTCGCCGGGCATATCAACCTCCACGTCCTCGAGCGACAAGTTTATCTACTGGGGCTCCGCTGATTCCCAAACCGCAATTGTTTCTATTGTGGCCACAGTGTGTATATCTTCATGTTTCTCGGATGGGTCGTGAGATGAATTGATTATCATTAGACCAAAAGCTATTGCTGTTACACACCAAAACGTATACATGTCCCAAGGTAGGGTTCAGCCCCTCTTTAGACTCCACTAACGTCGGCACCGCAGAATACTGATGTCCTAGGGCTACTTATGTAGGAATAATATGCACGAGGTACTGATATCTTGAATTATGAGGGTATCATTAACGTTATGTCGAAATCTAAAGAAAGTACACCGGTGCTTGTGGTATCAAAAACATATATCCAGCCCACATAAACACCCCAAAAGAAACAAACTACATACCCAACTTTAACCGTTTCTGCAACTCAGCATCATATTCAGCCGTCGAAACCTGCCGAATTTCCGTAGTAACAGCAATCTGAGCTTCCTCGCCCTTAGGCGAGTTCCTCCCAGCTTCAGATGGTGACTGAAGTATCTCTTCCTGACTTTGCGTTGCGCGAAGCCGTCTTGATCGATCCATATATTGGAGCTCGGTGGGCTCATACGATTTTCCTGATTTACCCTTTGTTGTTCCACGACGGAAGAGCCAGGGGAATATGAAGCTTAGTGGGCGACGGAGGAGGGGAAGACAGGCGCAAATTATTCCCATGTTGCATTCTACTAGGGTCCATGTTGAGCGGGGGATAAAATCCCCTGGTATGTTTTAGCATCATCGCTTCCTTAACGAAGACTTTTGCACTCACAGCTTTGATCTAGACCGGTAGACGTCTGAGATACAGCGACGGTTCGAAGGATACTGGTGACGCAAACGCTGTTCGTAGGTATAGTCGATTAGTATATTATCATTCATTCAAGCAATTTTGAGACAGGACGTACAATGCGCCAATTCCAAACACACAGAGCAACCCAATCCTGTCATGCTTCGAAAGCTTGAGATTTAGGATTGGTCGGATTGGAAGGATCACTATTAAGAAATCCGTTACTGTGTTGATGGCGGCGAAGGCGTACCACCATGAATTTTTGTCGACACACTTCTTGTCGACGATTTCCTTATCCCAGGATGCTTTAATCGGGATACATTGTAGAATCGTGACTAAGACTGATGCGATCGTCCAGGCGATAATTACCACCAGGTATGCTCTTCCAACGCGCTGGAATGTCTTGGTGATAAAGATTCGGAGGTAGAGAAGGACGAGGGAGACTTTGGTGAAACCGAGTGCTATTTTGTATGGTATTTGGGCTATGAAGAACCACTGTATCCAATAGCCGTTAGAAGTCGCTCTTTGTTTTTGGAGGGGTAAGAAATGTGAGAAATGGAAATGTGCTGAACAAGATAAAAAAGCAAGCACAAAAAATATGTATACTCCGTTCGGAGCGGAAAGTGCAATAACTGCTATTTAAGAATGTCACTCACCATCATAGCCGCATTCATGTCTTTCATATCAAACTTGTGTCTGCCATAGCCATGGTATACAGCTTGAATATGATTAGCTTGGGATACCAAACACAACTGAGAACCCCCAACTTACACATATCAATAGCTGCAGTCAAAACAATCGACCAGACCAGAGCAAGCACGAGACAAATATCATCCAGCCCAAGTTGCCTCGTAGCAATCCTCGTCCATAAACGAGCAGCAACAAAAACAGCCGCAACCAAGACCATCACCAAGGCCGTAATATAGAGGATATACCCCCGGTCGGGAATCCCATTAACAGTCTGCCCATAGAATACCATCATTCACACATCGTCGCACAAAACCTGTACACTTCGGAACTCGGGGGAACTCCTCCTTATGCAGAACAACCCTGACACATCGTCCACCTAGAGCGAATCCCGTACTTGGCGGGCCAAAGTTAGGAGCGACAATCATTGCCCGATATAGGTTGTCCGACGAGAAGGTCAGTGCCATTCTCCACCGGCCACGATCTGATGGGCCGATCCTGCGTGGCCCCCAACCACCTTGCATTGCCAATATAGTACAACACCAATGGGCTATTCGCTAGCCTGTTCCTGTGCTAACTTATTTTTTAGTTGCTGTTAGGTTTGTTGCTTTTTCCCTGCGGGTTCATTCCTTTGGTCTTTTTGCTTCTGCGGATGTAACTGTATTGTTGTTGTTGCCCAGTATGAAGTTTGCCGTCTTGGGCTTTGCGTCCTTGATTGCTGCCAAAGTGATCTCTGTTTCTACACAAAATGGTGAAATTGTCGGCCACGATGTTCCCAGTAGCCCGGGTGTTATGGAATGGCTCGGTGTGCCATATGCGCAGCCCCCTGTGGGTGATTTGCGGTTTGCATCGCCCCGATCTTATAAGGGATCTGGGGTCCAGGTTGCATCGAAATATGTATGTGAAAGCAGTGACCTATTTTTGAGATACGGAGTGACATACTAATTTCCATTTTTCTAGGGAAAGTTCGTGATGTTCCAAGGAATACAATTCCTTTCCAACTTAAACTAACGCCTGGAACCGCAGTGATTGCATATACACGCCGTCAAGCTTGGTAGATTATCCCAACAAAACGGCCTCGTTTGATCGGGTCTTTGAATCTTTTACCACTGTCAACAATCATACCCAAAGCGAGGATTGTCTAACCCTCAACATCTGGTCTAAAGTTTCCCACGAGCCATCGAAACCAGTCTATATCCATTTCTACGGTGGAAGTACGTTACAACCCAACAGCATCAATACCTCCAACCTTGAGACGAAAATTAACAATAGTACCCAGGATGGACCTCGGGCACAACAAACACAAAATTCTACAACGGAGCCTCCTTCGCCTCGTCGGAAGAAATAATCGTAATAACAGCAAACTACCGCATGAACATCTTCGGCTTCCCAGGAATTCCAAACGAATCCCCAAACCCGGGCCTACAGGACCAACGCTTGGCAGTAGAATGGGTGAAAAAGAACATCCACGGCTTCGGCGGTGATCCAAATCGGATCACCATCTCCGGTCAATCATGCGGCAGTGCCTCGGTCGATTACTGGGCCTATGCGTACCGCGACGAGCCCCTTGTTTCCGGGTTGATTTCGCATTCCGGAACTGCGCTTAGTTTTCCTGTTAATTCGGCTGATGTCGCGGCGGGGCATTGGTTTAACGCCTCTGCGAAGGCGGGTTGTACGTCTGAGAGTGAGGGGGATGTTCTGGCTTGTATGAGAAGGCAGGATGTTGATACCATTCGAGATGCTGCTGCTTCTGTTAAGGTCCCCACTACCAACCCAGCGAGGAAGGCACCTGCATTCCAGCCGACGGTCGATGGGGTGACTGTTTTCGGTAACTATACAGCTCTCTCGGCTGAGGGGAAATTCGCCCGTATTGTGAGTCGTCTCATAGCCTCTCCCAGGATCCCATGTGTTAGAAGTGATTTGGATATCCACTAACGATATTTTTACCCCCAGCCCTACCTGCTAGGCCACAATTCCAACGAAGCAGGTTTCTACAAAATAGCCGCCTACGCCCAGGGCTCAACGCTAACAGATAAAGCATGGGACGACTTCAACATGGAAACATTCTTCTGCCCATCGAATCTAGAAGCTGCAGATCGTGCCCGTCGACACAGTCCCGTCTGGCGGTTCCAGTATAATGCCGATTGGGAAAACACGCGGCTTTACCCGACTAGTGGTGCTTATCATGGCTCGGAGTTGAACATGATTTATGGAGAGTCTGCTGCAATTACTGGTATTCCTGAGTCCGAGCCGCAGTTGCTGTTGCAGGGCGTGATGCGGAGGGCTTGGGGGGCTTTTGTGAGGGATCCCAGGAGAGGATTGAGTGAGGTTGGGTGGCCGATTTATGATCCTCATGGTATGTTTGGACATTCCCTATCTGACGTTCTCTATCATTTTGGGTGTCTCTAATGTGCTTTTAGATTCCACGTTTGTTGAGCTTGGTCTTGATAACAAGCCCAGTGCAGAGTTCGTGAGTACGGAGGGTACCGCTAAGCGGTGCGCGACTCTACTTGCACAGTTGTAGGATATATACTTCTCTGCGAAAATAGTGTATCATTCAACTTTGCGGGCGATAGGATTAGGAACGAACAAGTCAACTAGTTTAATCTGTTGAAATTACTCGATGAATTTACCGGGAACCATGTACGTCAAGGCCAACGAGGTGGTTTAGGTCTGATCTCTCTCATGAGAGAGAGATCCTATTTAATGAGAAGCATTTCTCCTGAACTATACTCTACATGGTAGGTCAATGCTGATCATGAGCTTCATGCTTGGCGAAGTAGGCATTTCATGCCTGGAGATGCCTGGAGATGCCATGAATCTCAACACACCCCCTCAGTATTGAAGCTTGCCATGTCTTCAAAACGCCTTTTCCAATGCTAGCGCGTCGCGAAATGCTTCGAATGCAGGCCTTCCTAATGGTTTGGTGAGACCATCAGCAATGTTGTAGACGCCAGCGACGTGAGAGAGTCGTATTTTGCCTTCCTCAACTCTCTCACGGATCCAATGGTAGTGGGTCTCAATGTGGCGGCTTCTCGAGTGATGCTTTGAGGTCTTAGCCATGGAGATCGCGGATTGACTGTCGCTGTAGAGATGAATCGGGTCTGATGCATCTATGGCTCGTAGGTCAACGAGCAAGCGATGAAGCCATACGCCCTGGCTTCCTGCGTCCGAGAGAGCGTAATACTCTGCTTCGGCTGATGACTTCGTGACGCAGGATTGCTGCTTCGAAGCCCATGAAATTGGCCCGCCAGCGAGGTAGAATACCCATCCTATACGGCTTCTCATGGTGTTAGGATCCGATGCAAAGGACGCGTCCACGCACCCCCAGAACCCGTATCTGTCCTCACAGCCAGTATTACCACCCGTTTTCGGTTGTCCGTAGGTTATCGCAAGGTTGCTGGTTCGCTTAGCGTATCGGACGGCTTGGTAGACGGCGGAGAAGTGACGATCGTGAGGTTTGAGGTTATGCTTCGTGAGCATCCCAAGCGCTAGGGAGAGGTCAGGACGTGAGACCGTGCTAGCGTAGATTAGACTACCAGTGAGAGACTGGTAGGTCTTCACGCTCTGCTAGTCGGCCGGCTCTTCGGCCTTCCTAAGCTCGATGCTAGGGCTGAATGGGATGAGAGGTTTTGGAGAGGAGGAGGTCGGTAGAACCTCAGGAAATCTGTCAATATAGGCTTTTTGGTCTACTTTCATGATTCCAGCTTCCTAGTCGCGTTGAATCCTAAGGCTAAGGTAGTGAGAGACCTCACCTAGGTCTAAAATAGACCATTTCTTAGCGATAGCTTCTTTGACTCTCTGAAGCGTTGTGGGAGACGTCGCTGCGAGCAACATGTCATCCACGTAGACGAAGATGACGGTAATTCCACCCCCTTGCTCGTGGCGTACGTATAGACACGGGTCAGCGGAGGATGCAATAAAGCTTTTGGAAATAAGGAAGCTGCTAAGGGTCTTATACCAATTGGCTGCTGACTAGCGTAAGCCGTATAGACTCTTAAGAAGGCGACAGACTTTACCGCGAGGTTCGACGCCATGAAAGTCGAGACCGTCGGGGTATTGCATGTACGTTTCCTCTTCCAATATCGCATTGAGATAGGCTAAATTGACGTCTAAATGCGTCGTATGAAGCTTCTTTAATGTGATGACTGCAAGGAGTACTCGGAGGGTCTCGTAGCGGCCGGTGGCAGCGTACGCGTCCTCGTAATCAATGCCTTCTCTCTAGGTATTACCTCGGGCCACCCACCGTGCTTTGAACTTAGCAGGTCTGCCATTAGCATCGGTCTTAAGCTTATAGACCCATCGACCGGAGAGGATCTTAGCCCCTAGTGGTGGAGACGCTAGTTGCCATACCTAGAGAGTCTCAAATTGAGAGATCTCCGACTTCATAGCTTGCTCCCACCATGGCCAGAACGGTGAAGCCTTAGCTTCCCGCAGAGATGTTAGAGAATCGAGCCATTGAGCTGGCGTAGATTCGATGTCCTGGATAGACGGAAGCGCTAGGAGAGAGCTCTCCGTAGAGAGCACCTTCGCTTCCGTAAGAAGCACTGTGGTCTAGTCTTCACAGCATTGAATCTCAGCTTTTTCAGCTCTGGAAGCTGTTGAAAATAGCTGAATTGGGTCTCTAGAATCGGCGTCAGACATGCTATCTGATGCGTCCGATGCATCTAAGACCTCGGATTGATCTGAATTCTCGTCCAATACGTAGAATTCGTCATTTTGGGGATCGTCGGAGACCTCTGGATCGGGGCTATGGAGGTTGACGGGCCCGGAAATAGCAGGTGATGCTTGCTGGGCATTAGCTAGAGAGGCTTGCTAGATGTTAGCAGCTAGTGAGGTGTCAGGGTCATTGTATAGATCCCAATCGGGTCCTTCATCAATGATTGCATCTCTCACGACATACATTGTGCCTCCTTTTCTACCATTGGGAAATGGTCTATAGACGCGGTATTGGGCGCCGTTATAGCCAGTATATCCAGTGAGGTAGCCGAGCTCTGCTCTCGGAGCTAGGTGGCGTCCTTCGTCGCTTTGATGAATAGCTTCACGTAGGAAGACCTTCCAGACCTTACTACCAATAACGCGTAGAAATGATAGGTCTAGCTTCCTACCGTAGCGAAGCTCGAAGGGAGTAGTAGGAGGTCTTCCTTACATCTTACGGCCATTATAGACTGTCATGTTTCTCACGATAATCACTGTCTTCATGATCTCAGCCCATAAGAAGGTAGGAAGCTTGCTATCAGCTAGAATGCATCGCATTCTCTCACTAACAAGCCGCATTAGACGCTCCACTTT